TGAAGGCGGCGCTAAACCGCTGAGCCACCCGGGCTGCCCCACTCCCTTTTCTTTAGAGAAGCTCTTTGACTCATCCCTTTCTAAGATAGCATCCCCATTATTTTTCTTAGTACCTGGTATCTTTTATAACACAAAAGTTATTTATTCATAAGCAAGTCGTTTATTGGTATGACTATAAATGCTATTATACTATCCATTTTACTTACACATTGATTATTTGATATTAGTGAACAGGGAGGTAAGATACAGCAGTACCCCTAAAAGAGTAACATGTTCAAGAGAATGTCTTTAATGACTGAGGAACCTGGAGCAAGTAAAGAGGAAGAAATAAAAACTGTTTATGAATGAATGGGAAAGAATTTGAGTATAGGAGTACCTTTACCAAGAAAAGGAAATAGGTAGTAGTCTTCCACGCCATCCTGGGAGAGGGTGAGATAAGTTTGACTGCAGAAGTGTTTAATGTATAAAAGAGGTTAAATAAAGAATTGCTTCAATCAGACCTGATTTTACTGAATAAAGAGTGGAGAATAAATGGCGTTGACAAAGTGGTGGAATACTCGTCAAGAAGTGTGTCTTAAGAGAGCAGGGTGAGGGTCCAATTTTGATTTGATTGAGTAAAGTTACAGTGTGTGTGGTTCCCTATGTTCATTTGATAGTACCTTGTGGTCCATAGCATTAGGGGGTTAGTATAAATGATGCAGGGATAGATGTAGATTACATAGTGTGTGATCACACTGATGAGTGAGTGCATTCTATTGGGGTGAGTGTAGCAGTGATTGAAGGTAGAATGTCATGAATGTACTATGAACACCACATTAAAAAGGGGGAATGAACTCATCCAGCTGTACTCTGAGCTAGTGTGACTTTAAGCATAGTCTTCTCCTTGAATTAGAAAGGCGTTTAGCTTTATCATCTCTAAGGCCCTTTTCAATTTTCACTGATGAGAGTGTATGAAAAAGATGAAATTGAGTGAGTAATGATTTAGGTAAAAGGTGATAGATGAGAAGAAGCAAGAACAGGTATGGAGTTTGTAATAAGTTTTACCTCCTAACTCTGTAATAGCACTAACATAATGTATCTGTAATTGTTTTGTAAAGTCCCATATTTTCAGTGTTCATTCACATTATCTGATCTTTTACCTATAGAAAGGTTGGTAAGGATATAAATTAATATCCCCATTTACAGGCAACCTAGTTAGAACAAAGAACATTAAATTTCAAGTCAAATTCCAGTTGTTCCTCTAAGAATGGCATTGGCAGGCCAGACTTTTTTTTTTAGCCCTATTTACTTTATCTGTAAAATGAGGAGGTTTGGCTTTTGTATCAGACTACCTGAATTTTTAGACAGGTGTCTAGATCAGAGAAATAAGACAGTTGTTATATATCTGCATTTTATCAAGGATTTGACATAATCTTTCAGATTATCCTTTGTAGACAAGAAATAGTGAATGGGTGGCAGTACACTAGTGAATTTGTAATTTGGGAGTTATCTGATGAGATGACATAGGATTCTTTTCTCAGTCTTTTCCACCATTTTTAGCAATGACATGGATAAAGATATTGACAGGTTGCTGATCAAATAGCCAGTACATTGGATAACAGAATCAGAATTAAAGATGATCTCAGCAGGCTTCAACTAAGAGCCAAATATGACAAGATGAAACACCATGGATTCCTCTAGTGCACGCTTCTAGTTGGGCCAGCAAGCGCACTGCACAAGGATTGGAGGCAGGGGCTTCCTTTAGATCTTGCCTCCATTACTCTCTGTGTGACATATGGACCCACATTCAGAAGCATAAAAGAACATGAATTGTGAATTATCTTTCTCCCCCAGTCATGCCGTGTCATTCCCCAAAGGCAAATAGATTATTAGGTTTTTAAAGTGTATCCTTCCATAGAAATTTTATGCCAGTGTAAGCAAATTGTGTGTGCATGTATTTCCCCCCTCCAATTTTTTTTTATGATAGTCACACACACACACACAGAGAGAGAGAGAGAGAGAGAGAGAGAGAGAGAGAGAGGCAGAGACACAGGCAGAGGGAGAAGCAGGCTCCATGCATCAGGAGCCTGACGTGGGATTCGATCCCGGGTCTCCAGGATCGCGCCCTGGGCCAAAGGCAGGCGCTAAACTGCTGCCCCACCCAGGGATCCCTCCCCCTCTGATTTTTATACATATGGGAGTGTATTATTCACACTGTTTTTGTACCTTGTTTTTCCCCCTCATATTTATGACTTTTTGTTGGAGGATTTCACCTGTCAGTGTGATCATTTTCTTTTAGGTAGTTGCACAATATTACTTTGTAGGAATGAATCATAGGTCATTGTTTAGTTAACCAGTTCTTTACTGATGGACATTTTGGCTGTTTTCAGTATTTAACTGTTACAAGCAATGCTGTAGTCAATAACTATACAATAGTTATATCTATGGGATAAAGTCTTGGAAGTGGTATTGCTAGGTCAAAGGGGAATTCTACTTTCTAATGTCACTGTAGTCATCCCTGCCTTCCTGTGTCATATAAACATAGAAAAAAACAAAACTGTATAGCTGGAAAGGGATATAGGAACCATCAAGCTTAGTGGTTCCCAAAGTCATGGTCCTTGGGCTGGGAGTAGCTGCAGCAGCACATGGGAACTTTGTACAAATGCATATTCTTGGGGCCATGCTGGACCTCCTGAATCAGAACCTGTGAGAGCCCAGCAATTTGTGCTCACAGCTCATTTTACATATGAGGAAACTGTGATTAGAAGGGTGAAGTAACTTAGCAGTTGTCTCAAGGTGTGACCTCTGACTTCTTTTTGAAACTCTTTTCTCATCATATCACCTCTTTCCCTCTTTTGGAATTTCCAAACTGCCTGCTGTTCTTAACAACATCTAATCCTTGTGTCATGCCTCTCTCTTACTTTTTCTTTTCTCTCTGCCACTGAAATCCTATTTTCATTTGTTCTTGCTTTCTTGAAGCACTTGGATCTTCCAAATTGGAAAAATTTGTACATCTTAGCCTTCCTATGCTATTTTATTTCTATTTCTGTATTAGTGTCTGGCTTTATTCAATGTACATTCATATCTGTCTTTTGTTAGCTTATACATATACCCATTCAGGGCAAGGATGATGTTTTATTTGTTGTCATTTTAGGCTTCTTGCACCTTCTTTACATTTACTAATTGGTAGGTAAATGTTGGTTGCATTTCTTTTCATGCACAGTTGGAAATCAGTGGAATAGAGAACATACTCTGTGTTACCCTCAATACCTGTAACTCTAACCAGTTTTCTTATAAATATGCTATTGACCACACAGGACAGTAGGTGTGAAAGGGATAAGTCAGCTTAAACGCCTCCACTGAAGTTTATAGATGGAAAATTAACCAATCTGTAGTCAGTAAACCTATATTTTGATTCTCTTATGATGTGTGTTGAAGATATGTTTCTAATATCATTTTCAGAAATTAAAGGATTATGCATTTTTACAGTTAATGGTATCTTATACCAGTATACATTTAAATTGCTATATGTCATTTCCTCCTTGTAAACTTAGAAGTATGGTGTCAAGGAGGTGTTTAAATTTTTCAAAATTCTTTTTTTTCCAATTTTTATTTATTTATGATAGAGAGAGAGAGAGAGAGAGGCAGAGACACAGGCAGAGGGAGAAGCAGGCTCCATGCACCGGGAGCCCGACGCGGGATTCGATCCCGGGTCTCCAGGATCGCGCCCTGGGCCAAAGGCAGGCGCCAAACCGCTGTGCCACCCAGGGGTCCCAAATTTTTCAAAATTCTTATAAAATTTTAGTTACTATCTTAAGTTTACTCCGTTGTGCTAAATATCAAGACTAGGTATTTCCTTTTTTTTTTTTTAATAAATTAATTTTTATTGGTGTTCAATTTACCAACATACAGAATAACACCCAGTGCTCATCCCGTCGAGGTATTTCCTATTGTTGAAACTAAACATTCCAGTAAAACACACCATTTTCTCAAGTTATCTTAACATACTTGTCAAGGAAGAATATAGATGCTTCCCTGTGTGATAAAGTGAAAGTTTTAACTTTTAGTTCACTTTTTCCTTAAAGCATTATAATTTTAAACCTAAGCAAACTGTAATGTTTTTAGTAGTATTCAAAATATAGTTTATAATATTTTAGAGAAATTTTGAGAAGAATCACATCTTGGAGATGATTTTTTAAATGATTGTTGCCTGCCCTACAGAGATTTTGGTTCATCAGGCAAGTATTCTTATGAGCTGTCTTGAGAAATGGAGATATTATCACTGGCTTAGGGCCAAAGTTAACAACTTTGAAAGAATGTGCTTCTGTAGTAATTTTGAAATTATTTTTCTCCAAGACACATCATTTTTTATCAATTTTTAGCTAATTGTGTGGAAAATGGAGAAGTGGAATGCTTTAATAAAATTTTGTGATCAGAATTAAATTGTAAAAATTAAATATAACATCACCAGTCCATTTAGAGACTTGTATTACCTTAGCAGTTGTACATTGGCGACTTGTATACAACTGTATCTTTAATCGCTATTTTTAGATGAACAATTTTAACCATGTCAGTGTTGTAAGCTTGTAAATTTGATTTTATTGTTATGTCAAGCCAAACATAAGCAAAACTATTTAATCTTTGTCCTCAGAATCCATTAAAAGCCATTTCAGACACTAGTGCATGAGAAGGTAGAAAAATGTTATGATTCTTTTTCTGTCCTTAGGAGTTTATAGTCAGCATAGGAGACTTTATGCAAATGAAACAGGAGGCAGTCTGCACAATAGCTTTCCAGATTTCACAGTGCAGCATAACTATCTAGTATCTTTAATTTAGTTGGTCAGCAAGTTATTGTTACATTATTTGTTCAAATCAACTGGAAGTTTATGCTATTAATTCATCAGAGACAAGCTTTGCTGGGTGATTGATAAAGTAAAAGTGTATCCCATTTGTAATTCCTGTACCTTGCACTCATTTCCTATCAAAATGTAGAGTTGAGTTTCTCATTGTTTCTTTTTTAGTGAGCATTTGTCCTGTGCATTCACATTCTTTCTTCATGGGGAAAGTAATGTATGTACAAGTGTGGAGATTGCCCAACACCAGCCAATTTATTTGATCAATGAGGAGCATATACACATGGCTCAGTCTTCACCTGCACCATTTCAAGGTAAGTAAACGGTGATGTCCCTGCCATCTACCTCTCTCCCACCAAGTGGATAGCCACCTTGCCCAGTAAGGTTTGCAGAATGAGGTATTATCTTAAACTGGCATTTTAAAGCTAAGCCTATGCTTAACTTTAAGCTAATTAATAAGATAATTTAAGATAATTAATGCTAAGCATAAGGGTCAACTTCTGAGGAAGCAAGGGAAGACTAGCATTTCACAAAGAAAGCTTGCCAGTATTTTGCTGAAAACTTAGAGCTTATCATGTGTACAACATGGTGAAATTATACTAAGGTGAAATTATACTAAGGAATAAACTGTAGACAATTGCCTTCAGAACAAAAGAAGAGCTATAAGAATTTGAAAAATATAATCCACTGAGTAATTGACAAATCTTAAAAATTAGAAGTTTTCATTGTTTTGTTTCTTCCATGGTTTCAGGCATACAGTGACTTAACAGAAAATTACTGTTTTTGAAATTTCAACCAGAATCCTATTTCTAGAATTGTATAGTTTCTTTAGTATTGTTAATATCGTTATTATTTCTTTTGAGACTATACTGATTGTAGGTATTTGGTTGTAATTTAACTTAATGTGTAAATTTTCATTAATTTTCAGCTAATCGCCTAGATATTGCCAAAATAACACCATATCCCTTTTTTTAAACCATGAATTCTAAATCTTTGGTTTTGTTTTTGGAATTCAGAGTTTTCTATAAATAGCTTTTTAAATTTTATAATATTTAACTGTAATAATATTAGATTGAATCATCTGGAAAAATCATTTTTGGTTCAATTTAATTTATTACTAGAGATGTCTGGTTGAAATGGTCCTAGTATATCACACAACATAATTTTTTAAAAACATTGATACTTTAACAGATTTAACTAAGTATTTTTATTGACATAACAGTTTGTCATTGAGTGGTTAGCCTCCATATTATTTATGATTGCTTTTTGGTTTCCTACAAATGATTCTGATTTAATTTAATGAAAACATCTGTTCCTTGCCCTAAAGATACTTAAGCCATTTTTTTTAAAGGTAAAAAAGAACACTGAATCATCATTTAACTGTGTCCTAATTATTACCTTTTTTTTAACCACCTCTCTTTGTAATACATTTTGAACTATGCACATTATCATTCTGTAATTTTGAGTGTTTGCTGTGTGAACTACTGTAAAATTCAAAACCCAATTCCCAAGCTGTGCACTTAGGAGTTGTACAGTATGTGGATATTGTGAATTACCAGAATTATTTAAATACTGTGTTTTGTTGACTTTGAAGATGCTGAGGATCATCTAACTTCATTCTAGACTTTATTACTGAAAATAAAAGGAAGCATTTATGATAAGAACAGAAGGAATTCCTAGTCACGAGGAAAGGCAACTTACCTAAGTTGGGAAAGATAATATTAGCAATATCAGGTCTCCATAGACCAATTAATTTTAAGTCTTACTGCTTTGTTGCTAATGTCTCGAATCATAGAAGACTTTTATGAGATGTTATCCTGCTTATTTCCTAGGATTGGTCTGGAGAAGGGATATTCTTAGGGCAAATGTTGGCCTATAGATAATTATAGTGAACATAATTAACCATATTGGTGTAGGAATTTTCTAGAAGTATTAATACTTCTAGAACACAGTATTAATGTGTTCCATTCCAACCAACAGTGGTTGTGTTGGTTGGAATCAGTATTTTATTCTGTTTGGATCATTGAGAAACAGCAGAAAGGCACTAAGAAATATGTGATGTCTATAGTTATCACTCTCTGGAATGAAGTAATATGTCATCCAGACATTAAAAAAAACAGAGCCATCCAAAAAAAGAACGTCTCATTTAATGACTATGCTGAGATTTTTTTTTTAGAAATTAGGATTCAGAAGGGATGCCTGGGTGGCTCAGTGGTTGAGCGTTTGCCTTTGGCTCAGGGTGTGATCCTGGAGTCCCGGGATCAAGTCCTACATCAGGCTCCCTGCATGGAGCCTGGTTCTCCCCCTGCTTGTGTCTCTGCCTCTCTCTCTCTGTGTGTCTCTCATGAATAAATAAATAAAATCTTTAAAAAAAATAGGATTAAGAAAAAGTTTATCTCTGGAAAAGTATTGTTTGGAAGGTTAGCCTTACCCCACAGATATGAACTGGCTGGGTTATATGCAGCATCATGTTAACTACATTTTTGTGGCTAGCCCAGTGAAAATAACATCGAGTCAAACACTGAAAGAGAAAGATAGACTTTGAGTCCTTTACTTTGAGTATAAGTTTTATTTAAAGTTGTTTCATCAGTGGACTTCAAACAATTCATAACTGAAATTATAACTAAGTAAGCATTATGTTTCACACTTGGTACATCAAGGCCTTTTTGTTATTACAAGTTTTTTTTTATATATTGTTTTAAAAATTACAACAGATATTTAGGAAGTCTCAAATCCTGGAGTGTTCAAGTACTAGACAGGTTTTGGGGTATATGTATTGAATGGTTTTCTTTTGTTATAAAAGATTCAGTGTTTGCATTGCATAAGCTCATATCAAACAGGTTTTGTAGATGCTTTCATATATAGATAGTTTATATATTGTGTGTTGATAACAGCTGTCTGATAATTTTTTTTTACCTCATCCATTTGATTTCCTTGAAAAATTGATGTGTGTTGAGAGGCATATAGATAAGAGGTACTAAAATGAGGAACTATAAAAAAAAATTAGACTTTATAAGGGGTCAGGAAATAAAAAGCGATATCCAGGAAGTGAGGCTGGGCTTGAGCCCAAATGACCATGTATGTAGCATTATGCTTAAGCAGGAGTGATTATTCTGATCTGTAACATACGTTTCTCCTCCCTGCCTTAGTACTGGTAAGTCCTTATGGCTTAAATGGCACGCTCACAGGCCAAGCATACAAGATGTCAGACCCAGCCACCCGTAAGTTGATTGAGGAATGGCAGTATTTCTACCCAATGGTGCTGAAAAAGAAAGAAGAATTGAAAGAAGAAGAGGAGTTGGGATATGATGATGATTTCCCTGTGGCAGTTGAAGTAATTGTTGGTAAGAGAAAATATTTTGCCTGAAGAACTTTATTCTATCTTTTTCATCTTTCTTAATTTAAAAAGATAATCATTGAGATTCATCAAAAATAATCTCCATAATTTTCCCATCTTTTTTTTATTCTCTTGACACAGTGGTATATGCTGAGTAGTTATCTTGCCTGAAGCACCAGTGGTCCCTGTATTCCAAATGCTATTATCATAATGTTGGAGCACATGTTTAAACAGCTATTAACTTAGGAAGGAATGGAGCTAGTCACTTTTGGCAGTACCTAATGAGCACCTCATTTTCATCATATGATAGCTTTGACTCTGACCACTAGAATAATAAAGTTGGCACCCTGGTGTGAACTTTTTCTCAGGCCTGGTTCTGTCCTTGCTCTCTTTCCTTACAGGTGGTGTTCGGTTGGTTTATCCTTCAGCATTTGTTTTGATCTCTCAGAATGACATCCCCGTTCCTCAGAGTGTTGCTGGTGCTGGAGGCCATATTACAGTGGGGCAGCAGGGACTTGGTAGTGGGAAGGACCCAAGTAACTGTGGGATGCCTCTTACCCCTCCCACCTCTCCAGAACAGGCTGTGATAGGTGAGTACGGTCCAGGAATATCTTGGTCGGGGAGATCACGGAAAACCACGCAGCTCCCTTGCCATGGAACAGATGAGCAAACTCACCGTGAAAAATGCCTTATGGAAGAGGTGGAGGTAGAGTGACATTTTGCAGAATAGAGAAGGAAAATTTTCAACAAACAATTGATAGGCTTCGGAATTTTAATTGTGCCGTATTAGACTGTACTCCAGTTAGACAGTGTAGTTGTTTCCCTTAAGTTCTATACATACAGCTCTTCCTTTACACACATGTGCTCATGTGCACACACAATCAGGACAAGCTATAGGCTGCTTTTTCTTTACTTAAACAATGGAAACCACTAAATCAGAGAATGGCTTAAGTATTTGCCTAATTGACCATTGCCAGCCAGGGATAACTTTGAGATAATTCTTTCCTTGTTATATTATAAAGGCAGACTGGCATCCAGAAGCTCTCAGTAAATTGCTGTTCTGTCAGTAATCTGCCTGCATTAATGCTATAAAGTATTAATTATACATGAAACTTTAAAAAATTTCCTTCATGAAAACACTCAGAAATTGTTTAAATTGGGAGCATTTTGACTTCTTTGGAGTAGTATATTTTCTGTATTAACTGTTGTAGTTGACTTCATTTTAATTGGAAATCTAGTCACTAAGGAAAGGATATTCATCAGATGAGCTGAAGTGAGATTATTTATAGGCTTTTTAATGTAGGCCATTTTGGCAAAACCATCAGAGTAAATCAAGTCTTGGCTGCTGAACTGAAAACAGACTATCCAGCATGATACACAATCACGTGGCTATTTTCATGAGATTAGAGAAGACAGTATTTTAGAGCTTCTAGCATGGTGCTTGGCATATGGAGGGTATTCAATAAATGTTCATGGTTAAGCAGTATATTGGGGACAAGAAATAGACATTGTGATTGAGACCACCTAATTTAGAAATCTGGCTATATAGCTTTTACTAGGTGAGTTGGCCTTGTTAAATTCTCATACTTGGCCTGAGCCTCCATTTCCTTCTCTTAAATACTATGTGCCTGACAGAGCTGTTACATATACTAGGTGAAGTACTTAACAGCACTCTGTAGGCAGAAAGCAGTATACAAATGGTGGCGTAAGCATTTAAAGCAGTACTCAAAACTCCAGCTTCAGCACACGATCGTGTTATCTAGAAGGACTTACTCAGAGACTGAGTGGAAGGCATAGAAATGGGCAGCAGGCAGCCTCCGTCTTTAGGACCATGCAGTTGCTAAGATGTGTGAAAAAAAAGACACATCCAGCTCTGATATGGTGGAGCAGAGAATTTGGATGATCCCCTGTGAAAGGATTTGCTCAGTTTTTAATAAAACGAAAACAAAAAAAAAAAAGGAAAAAGAAAAAACAGTCTTTTAAATAATCATCATAAAGTTATACTGATACAGAGACTATAGCAATATTTTGAGAAGTTTTGATCACATTTCATATTAAAGTTTGGATTTTAAACAATTGTACTACATAAGTTATCAGTTTTTATTTATCTGTTTAGCCTGGTACTTAGAGATATTTGTATTCAACTTAAAATTGAAAGCCTGCTGTATGCATGATGTTCCTGGTGTCTAATCAGTTCTGAATTTTAAATTTCACAATTCAAAAACACCAGGTTTTGTTTACAGTGGTTTTCAGCGTGGACTTCCTAACTATAGAGTTTCAAATTACTTCCCCTGTGACTACTCTGTGTATGTCATTGTACTAAGCCCTAGGTAAATAAATCCCCTGATGCCTCTTCAGTCTCTAAAAACTAAATAAAATCAAATGGAATCTTTGTTGTAAAATGATTTTGTCTAAATTTTCATATCATGATACAATGAGTTCTATGTTAGGACTCTTAATGCTCAATCAGAGAGAATCCTGGTCAGCCTTGTCTTTCTGCAGTTGACTAACATTGAGCCATCGCCATGTTTTCCTAGATATAGGTCATACTGGGTTCCCCTTTCCCCTAAAGGGGCCAAGAATCTCCTAGTTTAGCAGGGGATCTAGGAGACCTAACTGGTTTTGGTGAAATCATTTATCCCTCATGTGGTTAGGTACCTCAGCTTGCGTCTTCAGTTTATGGAGATAATTTTGAGTAACAATATTCAATACGTATTTGATAGCAATGGAGTATAGGTCTTGTCTGATTCCCCATGATTAACTAAAATCACCCACATTTTAGTTAAGTCATTAAAAGCTACTGAAAGGCATTAACCCAACTTTATTCAGAAAAGACTATGCCTTATTTTCCCCACCCCTCTCATTTTTTGGTCATAAATTGATCCCATATGATACCATGGACTTAGGATCTCTTTAGCTAAATTGTAAGATGTTTGGGAGCAGAGGGCTATGTGTTCTACTTCTGTTTGTTTCTCCACTTTTCCTAGATTTATAATAAGCATTTGAAAATCCATTGTAAAATTGAAATGAATTATTTTGTACCACAAACCAAGTCAGGGAACTTCTAAGATGAAAGATAGCAATGAAAGACCAAATTTTTTGTCTTCTTTATCTAATTTGTAATAAAACAATACTTTTTATAGGAAACAAGCACACTTCATTCAGTTCCTTAGAATGTAAGCATTTTGATAATACTTTTTTGTTTTTTGTTTTCTTTTTTTTAAATAGAGCTAAGCCTAACCATTCAGCTCAATACAGTGGTTGTATTCCAGTGATATCAGGACTATTAAATTGTGGGATAAGGTTGTCTGTTTATTTTTCAGATAAGGGTGGAGATTTCCAGAGGGCTTAAAATTGATTATTTCAGTCAAGATGTTTTGTATGAGTTTTGTTGAGAATAAAACCCATGGTATATTGATGAAGTCACATAGATGAAAGTAATTGCATCAGAATTTAATACTGGAAATTGACTTCAATATTTGTCTTGTATGAGATAGAAGTAGTAAAATACTCATAACCAAAAAACAGTATTACCAGTAACTATAGTGATCCTAAAAGAAATGGATTATTTACCAACTAGTTGGAAAAGCTAAGTGGAGTTATTAGAGAGAAACCAGTGAATGATCCTTTGATACAGAATGTCGAGACAACCTCTTTCAGTGTTTTAACACTGAGCTTTCATAAATAGTGTCAGGTATAAGGACAAACAGTTCCACATACAAATTTGAAATTTGACCTTGTTAAAAGCTTTGTGCTATTAAATCCTTTTTCCTACCTGGGCACTATGTGCAGTTGTTGCACAGCTTTTTAGCTAAATGAGCATAAAGCTCCCTCTGCTGTTTTGTTCGGCCTTGAAACCTTACTGCACTGTGGATTTAAAAATTTAAATCAATCTATTCATGTTTATATCTTTAATACTATGATGTATGAGCCTTTACAAGTAAGTTGTCTCCAGTAGAGTCGGAATGCCTCTGGGTATGCCCTTGGGTTGTATGAGTGTGTGAGTGTTGATGTGATTAACTATTTTAGGAAGAACACAAAGAACCATACAAAGTGCCAGTACACACAATTTATGCTCATAGCTTCAGATAGTGTTGTTGCCAGCGGGTAGGGGCAGAGCTACATGAATAATATGAGTTTCAACAATCAAAACATTTCTGTTAAATAAGCTTGCAGTCTGTGTACTAGGAGATCTTTTCAGATAATTTTCACATTCCCAAATTGCCTTTCTTTTTCAGGGGAGAGTGGAGGTACGCAGAGTGCGGTCAGTCACCTAGGCTCCCAAGACGGGGGGATGATAACTATGCACAGTCCAAAGAGATCGGGGAAAATTCCTCCAAAACTCCACAATCATATGGTCCATCGAGTCTGGAAGGAATGCATCCTCAACAGAGCCCAGTCCAAGTATGACTTTTGCATTATGTCTGGTTTAGATCATGGTTTAGTAACACCATGTCTTTGATCACTACATGAGGAGTGTTGATTACATTGTACCATTGTGTGACCAAACCTGAGGGGTCATTGGATTGGTAGTTCATCTTTTTTTTAATATAATAATGCAAAATTCAACCCAAGGATGTTAAAGATGTTTACTTTACTTGACTCAATTATCTAGGAAATTTTGAAATACCTGTTTATCTCAAGATTGGCACAGTATTCATCTGACATTTTTTTAGCACAGATGGCTTAGGACAGTAGTCAGTGGGTTTGGTTTTTCCTTCATATACCAATTTATGAATTTATGAATGTTTTCCATTTACAAAGGGAAATGACCTTCTTCGTCACATATTCTGTGACATGGGCCTTCTGTTTTAAATGACAATACAGTTCTGAACTGAACTGATGCAGAGGGGTATTTACTAGCTGCTGTGCTTCTGTTGTTTGATTTGGGGAAGCCATATTCTTTTCTTCCCTTACTTGGCTTTGCTTCCTTCCTTTCCCCTCTACCTCTCCTCTTGCTCTCTCTCCCTGCCTTCCTTAACATATTTTTGGAAAAGAGGAAGAATTGATTCTAAGAAGAGACTGGTGGTGCTGATGATTTTAATTACATGAATGATAACAGATATTACTCAATAAATACTATTCTGCTCACCAAGATTTATGTAAACTTATTTATCATCATATTTTCACATCTTTTTTGATATAACTGAGATGTCCCCTTTCTGGACTGAGGAAAGTAAACAAAGGAGTTTCAATCTCTAGAACAGAATAAGTATGGACACCCTTGCCAATAACTGCTAAGAAGTCCACTTCAGTGACTACGACTTCGAGTTTTACAGACAGATAAAAAACCTGTCATGTGGATCTAACTTTTAGGAAATTCATTTGTTTCTTAGTGAATTGGTTCTAGAGTAGGCTGCTGAAGAAGATATAGTACATAAAATCTAAAATAATTGCAGTGGGAGATTGTATGTCATGTGCTAGAATTAAAAAGGTATCTCTAGTCACTTAAAAATTATCCTTTGCTCTAGAATAATTGGTACAGATGTTTTCACCTCTATCTACAATGCCTAGATAATTTCCAAGTTAACATTTTCTTTTTCTTTTCCTTTCATTTACTGTCTTTGATATTTGTCACCAATAACCTCCACCAGCTCTAACAGCCAGCCGCTTGTGTATCAGCACAGAACAGGGTAGTGGGACACCCAGAAAGGCAAGGGAGGGTGGAGAGCAAGAGAAGTCCCTCTAGAGCCATCATTGGAGCACTTTGCAGTATCAGCTGTAGCAAAATTAGCAATACAGAAATACTGCCCAGTGTTTTTGTCAGTATGTAATAATGGACATCTGCTTTTTGCTACCAATTACTAGTGACAAGTAGGAGATAATTTTTTTCTTGTCTTTAGTTTACATTACAAGCGTAGAGTGCTGTTCTATGCTTAGACAGTAGTAAATATAGGAGTTTTAAGAGTGGCACAGTGTCTCAGGGCATATAATCCACAGATGCTATGAAAAGAAAATTTTAAAGGTTTAGGTTATTTCTGCAAAGTTTAGGTGACTTTTAAAAGCAACAATCAATAGTACCAGATAGTGTTTTAGTTGCTCTATCACCCATGTTAAAATGTACATTAAACTTAAATAGAAATATTTTGAATCTTGCTTCTTCTAGTGCATAGAACAAGTTTGGTTCTTTTTCCTGTCCTTGGGTTGCTCTGAGTTATCTGTCAGCTAGATAACATTACTATGTGAAATGTATTCAGGTCTTTTAACCTGCCCCCCCTCCCCATCTACCATGGAGGTATGAATATTATCTCATGTTTACACAAGTCACATTTTTAACCTTTTTTAGGAGGAGCCAAATGTCAACTCCAACTCTTGAAGAAGAGCCTGCTAATAATCCTGCTACTTGGGATTTTGTGGATCCAACCCAAAGAGTCAGCTGTTCTTGCTCTAGGTAGGTAGTAGAAAAAGCACAACAGGAGTCGGATAGAATGGTAGCAACTTTTGTGGGCTATCTCCTGGACTTAAGACCACTTCTTCCTCATCATTTTATTTTGTTTTGTTTTGTTTGGGTTCAGTCTTCTTCCTCCTCTAGTATAGAAGGAAGAGATAGATCTTTTCTTAAATATAGATAGTAGTTTTATTGTTAGGACTCAGGAAGAGCTTTATCAGACAACTGGCCCTGTTATCTAATTGCTCCCACAAATTTCTTCACAGTAGCTATGCTCCCCTTTAAATGAGTTTATTTAAATATTCTTAATTTTAAAGTAGAGATAAATATTAAACAAGTAGGCCAGAGTTAATAGAATTTGAATTAAATAGACCTTCCATAGAGAATTTTTGTTGTTGATGCTGATGTGTTTTGATGCTTGAGGCAGGTATTTGGTAACATCTGGCAAAAGCTAAAATGGTTGTTCATCCATTTAGATACTTGAACCCTAAATTGATTTTTGTAGAAAATTTTTGCTTTCCTGGATATTACCTTGACTTATCACTCCTTGTAGTGAAGAGTCATCTTGCCATGAGCTTTCATTAGGATTCTTAGATTTCTTTCTTTTTCTATTTTTTTAAAAGATTTTATTATTTTTTTTTCATGTGCATGAGAGAGTGTGGAGTGGGCACAGCCAGGGGTAGGAGCAGAGGGAGAGGGAGACAGAGAATCTTAAGCAAATTCCACCCTGAGCACAGAGGCTTACGTGGGGTTCCATCTCACGACCCTCATATCATGACCTGAGCTGAAATCAGTTGGATGCTTAACCTAACTGAGCCAACTAGTTGCCTCCAGGATTCTTGATTTCGTAAGTATCCATGGGCCTTACCCCTAACTCAGTTGACTATTGAACATGTAATGGTGAGTATTTACTTAAGGAGCAACTTAGAGTAGCTTCACTTCCAAAGTATGTATTTTCACATTTGATACTGCTCAACACTTAGAAAAAGTTCTGTTAATAATAAAGTATATTTAGAAAATGCCCATTCATTTCCCTAGTTTAGATAGGGGTTCTTAATGTGGCATAAATAAGTTGGTTTTAGGGTAGGGTGACAGTCAAATGACCCCTGAGAATATATGCAAACTGTGTGTGTACCTGCATGCATGCGTGCATACACACACACACACACACACACACACACACACACACACTCTTCAGTAGTTTTGACACCATCTTCCCATCCTCCCCTGCCCCTAATGTTGATTATTTTTTATCAAGCTCTGCCTTTCTAGTCAGCTTTTTTTTTTTTTTGAGAGATGTTGTACCAGCCTAATGAAATGCACTACTGATTTTTTAAGGAGGATGTTTTTGAAGAAGTTATTTATTCATTAAGTATCCTCTCTGAGCATGTGAGAATCTGTCTCTAGTCTCAGGATGGGTGTGGTAAACCAGCTGAGTACCTGTTTTACTTCTGTTTCTAGGCCATTGTAAATTTATGACAAAAAGCCTTTTCTTATTAACATTGATTTCTAAACAGCTCACAGCCAAGTTATGGGCCACCTTTACAAAATACCTAGGAGGAAAATGTCAATGTATTTATCTCTGCTTGTGCACTCATCTTATTTTTGCTCCTCTTTTACTTAATCTAAATTTTTTTCACCTGTTAATTATTCTTTTTGCTGATTTCTATGACATTTTTATTTGCTGCCTTGAATTATTTTTACCTGACATATAAGTAATACTTTTTCTTTTGTCCTCTGGACTCATTCCTCTGTTGCCTCACCAGGTTCTTATACCTCAGGTTTTTTTGTAGTTATGCATTTCATTCCATCAACTTCCAAATATTTATCTCTAGACCTGACTTCTCATATATACTCTGGTCTTAAATTTTGGTGGGTGCTTCTTAGAAAAACCCTTAATATTGATGTGTGTTTTCTCACAAGTCAAGTATCCTGTTGTCATTTTTATCAGTTTTCCCTTTTCAGCGTAGAAACTACCATATATTTTTTTCTTCATTTTATGTAGATAATTTTTTATTTTTGCATTTCACATTGAATTTCTTTGAAATATCTATGATAATCTATTTGCCTCATTCTTTTAGCCACTGTGTGTTTGTTTCTTTTCTTTTCTTTCTTTCTTTCTTTTTTTTTAAGATTTTATTTATGTATTCATGAGAGAGGCAGAGACATAGGCAGAGGGAGAAGCAGGATCCTTGAAGAAGCCCAATGCGGAAATCGATTCTTGGACTCTCCAGGATCATGTCCTGAGCTGAAGGCAGATGCTTAGCCAGTGAGCCACCCTGGCGTCCCCAGTGTGTGTTTCTACACTAGTTGATCCTGCTTCTGGTTCCTTCCCATCACAGGGCTACCCATATAGTTAGCCTTGTGAGCCTGATTTCCTGCTACCTGCTTCACTGAAGCCTCTTACATGTACAGAGATGTGCGGTGATAGTCTGTTACTCACTGGTGTATCCCTAATTATAATCATTTGCAATATAGCTGAGTCATTAAATACAATTGAAAAAAAATGACTTTATAAGATTGTCTGGTTTGCAAAAAGTCCTTACTTTGAAGAGGCTACCATAAAATATCTATTGAAGGATTGGTGTGGGTAAATGCTTTGAGAAAATCCAAATGAAAAAGTTTTATGTAAAGACAAGATATGAGTAGATATTTTCCAGTAAGACATTCAACTCTTACTGTGGTACTGTGCCTTGGAGGTTTAAAGCACAATTTTTACCTTATTGACAATAGCCTTGTGCTGCTTAAACAACCTTCTTCAAAGTCACATTTTTTTTAAGAGTAGCAAAGATTTTAGCAGAAGTCTTCTCAGATTATCTACTGCAGGATTACCAAGCCCATTATGGAATGGTCCACTCTGCACACTATTTCATGGCCTTATAGGGCAGAGTGGCCATCCTGCTGTCCCACTAAACCATCCCATTATGCCACACAAATCCGTTTTACTGCCCACCAGGGCACCATTGAGTGCGATACAGCAGTAATTTAATGCCACCCTAGTGGCCTCAGAGAGTTACTGCTGCACCGGCAGGAGAGCTCACATTTTCCCTTGGTGAATTTATATATTGGGAGGAACTGGCTGACCTGCTGTATAACTTTGTTGCACAGATTAAACATAGGCATCATCTGGTAGGCCCTTCCTGAGCAATATCTCACACCTGTGCTTGCCAAGAAGTGTGTTAAGATATGAGCAGACTTGCTGCCCTGCTTAGTACAGATGCATTTGTCTACGTGTGTTGTTTTAGTATTCACTCACCATCTTTTTACTTCTAATTTTGTGAGTCTAGAAGATACAAAGTTCTCTTTTATCCATAAGAATGTCATATAAGGTTTCTAGTCTGTTTATTCTGTTAAATATTTGTAGGATTGACACTCATTTTTTTGATTTCACTCTTTGGGGGGAGAATTGCATAATTATTTTATTCCTAATTTGCAATACTACAAACTGTTATAAACCCTTCTGTATTGAGTTAGTAGAGTGTTGTAAGATAAAAATCGAAGCTTTTTTTACCTTCTCTTTCTTCGCAAATGATCTCATTATTCTTGGTTTTAAAATGCAGTGTGAATACATTAGCTGAGGCCCTTACCAAATTTGAAAGATTTGAGGATTTTTCAAATCAGTCTTTTGGTAGGGGTTAGCAATGTTAAGTCCATCTCTTACCTGCTTAACTTGTATGTGATCGATTCACCATTCTCCATCAGTGTTGCAGTCTTTAGTCCTTTAAAAAATAATGAACACTTAGAGTCCATTTCAGTGTATTAGTGCATCTGGTGTGTGCTTAAAAGATACAACCTTGTCAGAGGCATCTCCTTCGTAATGTTATAATGATGCAGTAATGTTGTACTGTCATAATGGTCCAGTTAGATTTCAAGTGTGTGTTTCCTGACCTTGTTTTAATTCTCATTTCAGGCATAAACTTTTAAAACGTTGTGCAGTAGGACCCAATCGACCTCCCGCAATATCTCAACCAGGGTTCAGTGCAGGACCGTCATCATCTTCATCTTTACCACCTCCTGCGTCTAAGCACAAAACAACAGAAAGACCGGAAAAGGGAGACAAATTGCAAAAGAGACCCTTGATACCATTTCACCATAGGCCCTCTGTGGCTGATGAGTTCTGTATGGAGCAGGATACACCAGGACAGAAGCTAGGGTTGGCAGGGATAGACTCCTCCTTAGAGGTGTCTAGCAGTAGGAAGTATGATAAACAAATGGCCGTGCCTTCCAGAAATACAAGCAAGCAAATGAATCTGAATCCTATGGATTCTCCTCATTCCCCTATTTCCCCTCTGCCGCCAACACTCAGCCCTCAGCCACGAGGTCAGGAAACGGAGAGTTTGGACCCGCCCTCTGTCCCTGTGAACCCAGCCCTCTATGGAAATGGGCTAGAACTTCAGCAGTTGTCGACTCTGGATGACAGAACTGTCCTCGTAGGCCAAAGGCTGCCTTTGATGGCAGAGGTCAGCGAGACAGCCTTATATTGTGGGGTTAGGCCCTCGAACCCCGAGTCATCCGACAAGTGGTGGCACAGTTATCGCCTCCCCCCCATTGATGATGCTGAGTTCCGGCCCCCAGAACTCCAGGGTGACAGATGTGATGCCAAAATGGAGGTAAACTCAGAGAGCACTGCATTGCAAAGGTAAGGCAACTGTGGATACCACCCATGTGATTGCCCACCGACCCCTTGGAGTTAGGGCTTACCTCCTCATCTCCCCATGCTGACCCTTCAGAGCCAAAATGAAAGATGCTTTTCTTTACCATTCCTAGACTCTGCATTTGGAAAACACTAAAAAGTCAAATGCTTTTTTGTCCTTCGTGAGGTTTCACACGTTATTTAAATATGTTGGCATATAAAGGTTTCATTGTGGCATTTAGGACATTGGTATTAATTTATTTTTGGCCTCCTGTTTGTTAGTCAAAGAATGGAGCTTTATGATACTTTCCATGTTGTGGTCAGTGTTTTCTTTTCTTTGTATGTCGACACTTTTAAGGAGGACTTTGCATGTATTCAGGTATATATCCTGCATCTAATAATAATACTATTTATAGTGCTGTTGAACTATGCATTATTCTTCACAATGTATTCAGACCATCTCAGTTAATCTTCACCGTGACCATATTACTACCTTATTTTCATAGCTGAGAAAGAAGCGAGGGTCAAGCAATTAGGAAATGACACAGATTAAACGTGGTTGGACCCAGGTAGTCTGGCCTTAGGGTCTGTCTGTGCTCTTAACTGGAATCTGTGGGCTCAGAAACAAAAGCATATTCTTCACAAAGACCTACTAAGTTTTATTTGTTAATATAATCTCTATAAGAACTTTTTTTTTTAAGATTTTGTTTATTCATGAGAGACACATTGAGAGAGAGAGAGAGAGAGAGAGAGAGAGAGAGAGAGAGAGAGAGAGAGAGAGAGGCGGAGACATAGGCAGAGGGAGAAGCAGGCTCCATGGAGGGAGCCTAGTGTGGTACTTGATCCTGGATCACGCCTTGAGCCTAAGGCAGACACACTTAACCACTGAGCCACCCAGGCATCCCAAAACTTCTTTATAGAGATAAATTTTCTAAGTTTAAGTTTTCCAAATCTTTATAAATGCTTTTTTTAAAAAAAAATGAGTCTTTTTTACTTTATCTTGCTTAAATTGCCATTTATTTTCCCTTTTAGACTTTTAGCACAACCTAACAAACGGTTTAAAATCTGGCAAGAAAAGCAGCCCCAGATGCAGCCACTCCACTTCCTTGACCCATTGCCTCTATCTCAACAACCTGGAGACAGTTTGGGAGAAATCAATGATCCATACACCTTTGAGGATGGTGACATAAAATACATCTTTACAGCAAACAAGAAATGCAAACAAGGGACAGAGAAAGATTCCCTGAAAAAGAATAAGGTACCATTTAGCATAGAGAGCATCCAGCATGGTGTGGGTTTTTGATCTATGTCAGTACAACATGTGTGGGAAAACTTCTGAGGCAGAATGTTTGAGATAGTCTTGCCTGATTGCTCTGTCCCCATATTCATGCTCTTGGTACTATTGTATTGAACAATGTATTGTTCCTTTTTATGTCATGGCTCACCTTTGTTTAAAAGTCAGCTAAACATAAATGAAGCCTCATATTTTCCAGGCTATAGCTTGTACAGTGCATGTTTCCTCTCATATGCTAATTCTTGTTGGCCTATGCTCCCTGCTTATTTCTTTTTAATTATTCCAAAATATCCAAAATGTAAGGAAAAAAATTTGATAATATCTATTTATTGAGCGCTTAGTATGTTTACTGAACCAAGCGCTTTACCTATGTATCTATCTGAATTAATATCAACACTACTCCTAGATGTGTCAGTATTAATTTTACTGGTTTCATTGTCATAAAAATGAGTACTGGGGGTGTCTGCTGTCTTTAGCCTTAAATTTTCAAACATTCTAAAATATTGGGCCATTTAAAGAGGTATTCTTGAGAATAGGGGAAATAAAACAATTGCAAGAGGCTTGTACAGTTCAGAAGAATGCTTCAGAGATTCCTTTATAGAGATCTATCTAGATCCAGAAAGCTTGAACCATAGTTCAGCCTCTAAAATGTTATATTAAAGGCAGCTTTTAACACTATGGCAGGTCTGTAATCAAATGCCACCAGTACTGGTTAGGTATAAAAGCCAGACTGACTCAGAATACTCAATAGGATTGGAGGGAAAGTATGGGAGTTTTGGGTTCTGTTTAAATTCAGGGAAAAAGACATATATTTTATTTCCCTTGGTTGCATAGACCATGGTTTATCATACTTGTGCTCATAACAAGTTCCATTCTACCCTCTAATTCTTTGTGTTCTCCCTCATATTCCACACTTTGGGTTGGTGTTCATGTGTTTTGTTTGGCTGAATTTATTATACAGTCAGAGGATGGATTTGGTACCAAGGATGTCACTACACCAGGTCATTCCACGCCGGTGCCTGATGGGAAAAATGCCATGTCTATTTTCAGTTCTGCTACTAAAACAGGTGTGTACAATGATTATTTGCCTCACTTGGATTGTTGCTAAAGTAAAATGCAAGGGAGATGCTTCTCAATTTAGATTATATTTTTACTGTAATAGCAATAATTTGATCCCATCTTTAAGTTTTCATAGTTTGTTTTTCAGTTACTTTCAAAACTGATAAACATATTTGGAAATAATTGTCTCTAAATTTAACTTAAAACTTAGGGAAAGAATTCACAGGCAGGTCTTGCTCATTGAGATCCATGCCCTCTCCTCACTCTTTCTCTCTAGATGAAGTTGCTCATTCTGCATTTTTGCCTTCTTTCCCACAGATGTCCGGCAGGATAATGCTGCTGGCAGAGCTGGCTCCAGTAGCCTTACACAGGTGACAGATCTGGCACCTTCCCTGCATGACTTAGACAACATCTTTGACAATTCCGATGATGACGAACTTGGGGTGAGTCTGCCACAGCTACCAAAACAGAAGACATGGAGGACTTAGGACTTAGGTCACTGTTGGAGTATTTCCTTATTGTTTGGTCTACGGAATTTGGGGGCCTCTAATTTTAGGTTCAGAATGTTCTACAGAAATGTTTGTATACTTTGAAAGGATTCTTAAAGTTGTCCGTGTAGTCTCTAACACTCCTTGGGTTCTGTTTGTTGATGGCTTTTTTTTTTTCTATTAGTTTATTCCTGTTGGAAACACTAAAATCTTTCACTTTCAGTTCTTCAATCCTAAATATCGTGAGACTAGTAGAAGTGTAGTATGTAGTCCTTTTAGCTCACATTTTAAAATTAATGCCCCTACAAGTTTTTATTCATCTCATCAGTCAGAACATAATCTACATTTTGAGAGATAAACAATATGGTCTATACTTTTTAGGATGGGCACTATTGTAGGGAAAAAGGACTTATGTACATAGAAGTTAAATAACACAAGGTATGTGGTTAAAGTGACAGATAAGAATTATAATTCTTGGTAGAACAGCTGAGCGGAGTCAGAAAATTTATGTCCTCGTCCTCCTAACCACCTCTGTATTTTTGGGCAAGTAGAAGTTCCTGTTTATTTCTGGGGGACCTATCTTACTCATAGGCCCTCTCTCTGTCTCTCTTTTTTTAAGATTTTATTTATTCATTCATGAGAGAGAGAGAGAGGCAGAGACACAGGCAGAGGGAGAAGCAGGCTCCATGAGACTCCATGCAGGGAGCCCAGTGTGGGACTTGATCCCAGGACTACAGGATCACGCTCTGGGTTGAAGGCAGGTGCTAAACCTCTGAGCCACCCAGGGATCCCTGATAGGCCCTCTCTTAAAGGAAATAGGTTTATTAGTTTATTTTTCATTCACTTCTTTATTTCCCTTCCTTCCCTCCCTTTCATCAATTTCCCAGATATTTGTTAATCATTTGATGGTCATTTCTTTTGTGATGTGTACTTGAGGTTACAAGTATTATTATATTACTGCCCTTACACTTGAGGCACTCACAGACCTCCGGGAGAAATAGCAAATACATAACGTTTAAAATGTACTTAAAAATGTATATAAATAAATATACACATGCATGCTTATTACTGTGAGTGCAGTAATTGACCTGCGTCTAAAGATGCTGGATGTTCAAGTATAAAATGACAGGTGAGCAGTGTTTAAGGCTTAAAGGTTAAGTAGGAATCAGAATTCTAAAGCTTGTTCTCAGTTTAAAATAAAATGGATCTGATTAACAGATATTATACACCATTAGTAATGTTAAGTACTTAGAAGATGATGAGATCATAATGGTCCCCAAGAATGGATTTGACTTAAAACGTGGAGAGACAGGGTTAATGAGAGGCAGGGGAGAGACTTTAGTTTGAGCCTGGAATGAGCCTTGGTTAAGCAACAAGAATGAACCAGCTGGGGAAGTTGGGGAGATAGAGACCAGACCATTGGTCTGCTCTCTGAGTAATGAGTAAAGATAGACAAGGTTAGGAAGGTTTTGGCCACACTTATGGCTTTGGACTGCGAACTCTGCCTATATAACGTGTCCCTCTATGAAGGCTGCTGAGTGTGAAACTGACAGAAAAGAAGCGATTCCTGGTTTTCATCAGTCTCATACACAGAAAGCATGAATACTGTGTGGTAACTTTTATTGAATTAAAACACAAGGACCTCCTCAATTCAGGCAGTTGGCTATGTGAAGAAAAAGGACATGGCAATGAGAAAAACTGTAATATAAGAAATTGTTGATACAGGCATTGGAGAGTCTCTTTAAACTTAACTATCTCCCTAAAGTCAGGTATTACTAGGATTGGTTTTAGTGATCCTTTGGGTTTGGTGAGATGCTTTGGTGGTGAAGGTGAGGATGAAATATGAAAAAACAAGGAATCAAAAAGAAGTAGAAAGGGAGGAATGAGAAAGGGTTAAAAAACAAGCATTGCAGAGTAGCTTGGGGACTGTTCACAACTACCATCTCTAGTGATTGTTGTTTGCACTCAGAGTCATTGTACTTATCTCTGTATAAATTATGTATTACTGTTGAACTAAATGAAGATATGTTTACTTTGTTTTTAGAATGTATTCTTAGTAACGTTAATATGTAAAGGAGGGTTGGATATTTTTAATCTAATTTCATTTCTCTGAAATGATTGTTTTTGCTTTACTCTGATTTCTAGCCTGGCATTTAATCAAGAGAATCGCTTGCCTTAGAATCCTTTTGCTAATTCATCTTACTGATAACTGGTGTTGTGAGGTTCTTTGTCCAAGTTTTCATCTTAAATGTCTTTGAATTTAATTTTGCATTTCAACCTTGTGACATGGAATAAGTATACATAAGTAAAAGGCCTTCTATTTGTGAGAATCTTTTTTTTTCTTTTTTGCTGTTTACCTTGCCACCAATTCATTGCGTTCTTAAAGATAATCTCGCCTATTAAAGAACTTAATTTATTTTGAATAACAAAGAAAAGCCCTCTCTACATATCTCCGTGGTTTTGTGTGATAAGGTTATTTTTTATGAAGATAAACAGTAACTGTGGAGGAGATAGGAGCTGAAGATATATGTTTTTTTTTTTTTTTCCTGTGGTGAAAAATAAAAGAATAATACTTTGAGAGGGCTTGAGGTCACCTTTTTAAACTTCCTGCTTCCAAACAGAAGGAAAACCAGACTGATAGCCAATTACTCCTTGGAGTCACCACCCTAATTTAATTATTGTGTCTCTAAACCACTTCCCTAATGACCTGGGAGGAAGATTTGCTTAAGGAATGTAAGTTGTGCTTTGATGGTGCAGTCTGCCCTTACCAGATCCATGCAAAGAAGACTCCGTCACTCTGGTTTTTATTCTTGATAAGCTTGTAGCCTTCTCCTTGGCTTCACTGTCTGCTGGTATTTTTAGAAGTTTACTTGTAAACACCATGTAAGGAAGCATCTTTCTTTTATTCCAAAATATCATTAGGCATATGTTAAGAAATAGTTTACTGCTGCTCTACTTATATTCAGATGTGTTGCCCTGTTTTAATAATAACAATCTTTTCTTAAGGCTGTATCACCTGCGCTGCGTTCATCCAAAATGCCTGTAGTTGGGGCAGAAGATCGACCTCTTGGGAAGGATGGAAGAGCTGCTGTTCCTTACCCACCAAGTAAGAAAAGGAAATTGAGCTTTGGCTTACTATTTATAACTTCTACAAAATGTTTTCATATTCAGTGATGTTTTATCTGAGATGCCTCTCTGTCCCTCCTCCCCTCCCCCCCTTTTCTTTTTACGGCTTAGGAGGTCTGTCTTTACTATTAACAGAATATTAACTGTGAATTAAAACCTGTTTAAGTTGGAATTTCTAAGATGGGGCAGGCAGCTAAGAGACCATTTTAGTTTGAATTCCTTTTGCTTTTGTTTTCAAATTAAGAATGAACTCTTCTGGTTAAAAATGTAGATAAATGTGTTTTATGTTTGTTTCTCTAACAGCCTTTTCCTAGTAGGATAAATGCTATACAGTGACTTTCATTTTTCTTTTTTATACAGTGACTTTCAAAGTGATATTCCACTATAAGAGTTTGTGTAAGATGTTTCAAAAAATTTGATTTACACAAGGATGATGATCATTTGTTTTTTTGTGGTTCTTTTTCTAATTCATATTGAAGTTTGTGTTTCCTTTTGAGATCAAACAGTTTATTGTGTATGACAGCACGAAGAGAAATTTTTTTTAAAGTTACTCTTCATTGTAGGAAACTACATTATTCTACAAGAGAAAAGACAGTAGAAGCAGAAACATAATTCCATTGCAAATCATTCTTTAATACCATCTCATTAACTTCAGCTGGTAATGAGAACAAATTGAGGGGAAAAACCACTATGTCATAGGGATGAGTCAAAAAGTTTTATGAACCTATAAATGTGTGCTGATTTACTCAAATGTAGAAGTGTGAAGTATACAGAGATTGGATTTTGACAGCTTTAGTAGATCCATAGCTTTTTAAAATATGCAAAGCTTTCTCAAGCATGACATGTATGAAAATGAATAATGGTAGCCAGCCAGTTGCTGTAGTTTTTTTAATTAAACATTTTTCTTTTTTTATTACTCTGCACTACAGATTTTGCAAACATAGAATTCACAGATTAAAAGAAACAATATTAAAATAGATACATATGGAATAGGTTAGATGAATGAATTTTTCCCCTTGTATTGAACCAGTTAATCCTCTGCCCTTTTTGACATTAAGTTATATGTTGTGATGTTAAATGTTAAAACATGACTTGTCCAAGGTTATTGAACTCACAATATTGTACTCAGAAATCATTGTTAGTGTCCTTGCCCAGGAAAGTATATGGTATACTCTCTTCTTTATCTCATTTTTATTCAGAAAATAATTGTTTCAAAAAGAAGCAACTCAAAATGTTATGATAAAGTACAACTTATAAAAATTAATTAATTGAAATTTAATTAATTTGATTAATTGAAAAATTAATTTGATAAATTTGATTAATTTATACTTACATATATAAGCTTTGGAAAGTATAGATACATAAGGGTAAATGGGATCTTTCGATGTGCACAAAGTATGCATGTGTAAATGTGTGTATGTGTGTGTATATGAACATGTATGCAATATTTCCTCCCAAGACATGACAATGAAATAACATGGTAAGAAGTTCTCATCTCTGCAAGAGCTTTTTTGTACTTTGAGGTAGAAAGACTGACATAAAATTTAGTGTCTAGAACAGCACCATCCAGTCTAATAGAAATACAGTGTGAGCTGCAAATGAGAGCCATATAGCAGTCTTAAATTTTCTAGTAGTTACATTAAAGGAAGTAAAAAAGAACCATGTAAGATTAATTTAATTAGTATACTTACCTAATATAACCAATAGTGTCATTTTTTACATGTGATCAGTGTAAAAAATATTGAGATATTTGATAGTTCTTTTTTTTTTTTGTACTAACTCTTTAGAATCTGTTGTATATTTTATACACACAGCACATCTCAGTTTGGACGACCCTTGGCTTGAGTGCTCCATAGCCATATGTGGCTAATGGATACTGTATTTGACAGATTATGTCCATAATTATTCATTTGTGTATGTAATAGTGAGAAAAGCAACACATAGTAATAACTAGATTTAATTTTGGCATCAAGTCTGTGTTAAGGTAGTATTGTGTTATAATAATATATACAATAATACACCTCAATTCCAGCCCATTCTGGTAGCTGTTCCCACCCTCACTTTAGCATTTTTAAGGATAAAAATCAAACAAACAAGCCATGGTTTTCTGTTTTGGAGAACTAGAATGTTTCTCTGGGTTTCTGTCATCTTTCTGACTTACCCTCTTTGACTGCAGTTCCTTTTCTCATCTCAGAACCTGTTTAGGGTCACATCCTGTCAGAAATTCCTTGTAACTTAACAGCAAAATCATCCCTTTCCCAGCCAAACAAAAATGGGGAGGGCAGACCAATTATTATAGGCTTTATCACTTACTGAATGTTTAGATGTTACATGGTGAAGTATTCAAGTGTGTGTACATTATGTTATTTAATGTGTACAAAAAAATATGAGGTAGATAGTATTGCCATTTTGCAGATGAGGAACTTGAAGCTAGAGAGGTTAAGAGTTTCCTTAAGAATATCTGATAATGGGGTGCCTGGCTGGCTGAGTTGGTGGAACATGTAACTCTTGATCTTGGCATTGTGAGTTCGAACCCCATGTTGGGTGTAGAGATTACTTAAAAATAAAATCTTAAAAAAAAAGTATCTGATAGTAAGAATAGTGAAGGCTACTTTCTGAAGTGAGTCTCTGGCAGGTGGAATATTACTTACCGTACTTTTTTTGTGTTCTCTTTTACCTTTGATAAAAAATATCAAGGTGGTGAAGGTGTTGAAAATTGAGATATACCAAAAAAAAAAAAAATTTGAGATCTACAACTGTGTTAGGTAGCTTCAAAGAATTTGAGTATCCCCAGGTGAGAAATGTCTTTATTACGTTTCTCAGACAAAGTTTAGTAGCTAATTTAATAAAATAATTTTTGGTAGAATTTTATACCATAGCCAGAATACTTACATGTAAAATAAAGGCTCTGTTTAAGTTCATTTGTCATTTTAACACAAAGAGAATTTGTACAGTTTATTTTCCAAGTATTTGCTTGGTGATTAAAATCTATAATGCAATAGGAGTTTGAAGATTTTATGAAGTGAACTTAGAATTTAAAATGTTATACTTAAACATTAATTTTATATTAAAAATGACCCATAGCTGCTCTTTCTGTGACTTGGAAGAAGGAGTAGGGACTAAAAGATAAAGATGATGGATGTATTTCAAGTATAACCTAACTCAATATTAAAGTCTTCAGTCTTGTTTTATTTTTTCTCTCTTTTTTTTTTGTTTTCTTCTTCAGTCTTGTTTTAAAGAAAATTACTGATCTGGTTGCTGCTACATTTGAAGACCTGTTTTTCCTCCTCAGACTCCAGTGGTTCTCTGGGAGTTTCTGGCTTGGCTTGTAGCCCTAGTTCTATGAATTGTTATGTTTCTTAATAGTAAAATACTGTCCTGGCAAGAGGGGCCTTGAAGATCTACTTGAGTTTTTTCCCCCACAACCCCACCCCCACCCCCCGTTTTCCTTTTCTTTCTCTTTTTCTTGGCGGCAGCAGGCACCATTTTGTTTAATGAAATCTTATACAGAATCCTACTGTAGGAAATAAATGGAAATGGAGCTTCTCTAATGAGAGGGAAAGTTGGGATCTGAGATCCTGTCTGTTGGCCTCTTCCTTCCCTTGTCTTACAGATAAGCACCTGAGGCCAAGAGAGGGTAAAGTATTCCAGATTATCTTATTGTTTAACTGGGAAACATGGTAAAGATCATCTCATGCAGAGGTTCTCACCTTTTTTCTGCCTCCCATCTGGTGGAAGCCTCCCCTTGCCCCCGTAAACAAAGGAAAGAAAGCAAGCCTGGTGAGAATCACACATCTATCCAGCCATTTAGATGAAGGATCCAAGGCCCCCAGGGAGGAGTGACCTGCCCTGACTGTAGCAGCACTGAGCTGTGGAACTGTTCAGGGTCCTGCTGCTGATTCATACAGCACTGTCTCAGACTCCAGCCCAGGGCAGAGTGTGATGCAGTGGTTCTTTATTAATTTCTGATTCAGAGCTAGAGGTCGTATCCTAGTCTATTCAGTGGTTACTGTTTGCCTCTTTCAATGCTGAAGCTTCTAGAAAGAGCAATGTGTTTGGAAACTGGGACATCCGATGCCATTCCAGAACAGACTTACATTCATGGCTCCAAATGTATACATAAATTTGCTGTATAGGACACCCCCTAGTGGTCAAGCTTCCAACTTGCATTACATTATATCTGCTCTTGCTTTCGAACCCCAGTTGCTTTCATGGGCCCCAGTTGATGATGATGATGGCTAACTTCTGGTATATTAAAATGCTCTTTTAAAAAAGGATTGAGAGTCACTGCTTTAAGTCTTTCTTAAAAGATACTTTTTTTTTTTAATTGTTGATTTTCAGTAAATTCTCTTTTGGTTCTAGGTAGGAATATTAAACCTATGAAGTTTCATTTTAATGTCCATATGGGCAGCATTTAATGTCAGTGTGGAACCATTTCCCCAAAGAGCAGTGAATGTGGTGGATTTTTTCAGACTAGCCAAGTAATCCTACTACATCTAAACCACCATTGTAGCTGCAAACAATTTTTTTTTATTTTTTATTTTTTATTTTTTTAGTATAAATGCCTGATGGATTTTCTGTGAAAAATTTGCTATAGGACATTTTCATGTAATTCTGAAATATTTCATACATATTTGTAAGCAGAGATAGAACTTTCAGCAGTTATTCCATTTAATTTCTTCCAGCTTCTACTTATTTCATCTCCTTATACTCTTCAGGCAGTCATTTATTAGAAGAAATATGTAGGTTATATAAACTTTGTTCTCTTAATTAACGTGAAGTCAAATCATAAAGCATCAAGGGGATAGTGGTAAAGTTCTAGAAAAGGATAATTTTCTGCTGATGGCCACCTTCTTAGAGACTTCCATGATTAATACTGTTTGTAACTGATACAACCATTCAGTTAGCATTATTTCTGATGGCAGGTGGGGTGCCTGCCTACAAACTGGGATTTTTTAGAAGTCTTACCTGTTAAATATTGTCTCTCCTCTCCTCTCCTCTCCTCTCCTCTCCTCTCCTCTCCTCTCCTCTCCTCTCCTCTCCTCTCCTCTCCTCTCCTCTCTTCTCCTCTCAGCAGTTGCAGACTTGCAAAGGATGTTCCCCACTCCTCCTTCTTTAGAACAGCACCCTGCATTTTCTCCTGTGATGAATTATAAAGATGGAATCAGTTCAGAGACAGTGACAGCATTAGGCATGATGGAGAGCCCTATGGTCAGTATGGTATCAACACAGCTCACTGAATTCAAAATGGAAGTAGAAGATGGATTAGGAAGTCCCAAGCCAGAGGAAGTAAAGGTAATTGCCAACATATTAATTTTATCAAGGCAGGGTGATTTTCAAGCAGATTCATATACATCTTCTTCAAAATAGTATATCTATATGCTGTTTATACATAAATTTTTAAGAGGTACATTGCTTGGTATATTATTATAATGTCTAGATTAATTTAAAATTTTGTCATTAACATTTTCTGCTGATTAGATGAGAGAAATACTCAATTCCACTCATTTTTGTTACTGTTGTTATATGTCTTTAGTTGTTCACCAGCATTATCACTGGACTCTCCTTGTTTTCTCACAGGACTTTTCTTATGTGCACAAAGTTCCAACCTTTCAACCTTTGGTGGGATCCTCCATGTTTGCTCCACTGAAGATGTTGCCGAGCCAATGCCTGCTACCTCTGAAGATACCTGATGCCTGTCTGTTTCGGCCTTCATGGGCAATCCCTCCTAAAATTGAACAACTGCCCATGCCACCTGCAGCCATTTTCAATAGAGATGGCTACAAGTAGGTGCAGGGACCATGTCACGTTTCTTGCCCTATTGAGTGTGGTTTTGATCTTAGCTAAGTATTTAAAATGATAACATCAGCATGTCATTTGAAACTTTCCTTTCTTGGACATTCGTGTTTTTGTGCACATTATTTTGTGTTGAAAATGTGCATATTTTCTAACTAAATTTCATGTATATGGATAAATTAAGGCTATTTGTATAGAGAACCATGGTGTTCATGCTAGTTTAGTATCATATCAGTGTCTGCTACAGAATCAAGCAGTAGATTGGAGTTGATAATGTTATTTGGATAGTGGTGGTATTTGATTTATATAGATTGTGGTTCCAAATACGCTTACTTAAGACACTTTAAAATGAAGTGTTAACATAGAGACTTTCTCTCATGCTGACCCCACATCATATAAGAAAGCAGTAACAAGGGTGGTATGATACAGAAGAAGGAAGAAGAGGTGTTTATTGTAACGTGGGCACATTTAACTATGTCAAAGAAGGGTAGTCTGTCAACAGTGTAGACTCGGTTTTCCCTATGATGAATCATTTCTTAATTAAACAATTTAAATGCTTTAAAATATAAGGCCATAAGCTCAAATTTCTGTCAGGACCAGGTAAACAATATGTGGATGACATGGATTGGATAAAGCAAAAGACTTGGCACCACTGCTGGTCAGTGTCATCCTGAGGGACAGTAGGAAAGAGCAGGGTCTCTGATGGAACTGTTAAGATTATGCTTCACTTAAAGGGACTGTTTGCTATGCAGTTATAGTGCATTGTTCAGGCAAGAATGTGGGCGACTAGAGGTCTGCGTTTTTATGTAAATCTCCTTTTTAAAAAAAATTTTGGTAGTTAATTCAGAGTCACATTTTAGGAGCCAATAAGACAAATTCCTGATCCAGTCTGTGGGCTACAGTTGTGACATCACATAAAACCATCTTGATGAAACCAACTTTAATGTCATAAACAGGCTTTATGCTTACTTATGTAAAGTCAATGTCAGAATGAAAAAGTGTGACAGCATGTAGGATAAAAGAACCCAGACTTGGGAAGGTACAGCCGTAATGTCACAGGACTCCAATCCTGCCTTTTTTGTTTACACCTGTATATGGCCTTAAAAGACTAGCTTACCTGAGTCTCTCCCTTCTTTAAAATGGTATGATCTGGCTCTGCTTCCCATACAAGATTTTTGAAAGGTTCTAATGGTTGTGGAAGTATTGTGGCAATAACAATTCGCCAGCAGGATGAAAGAATGTGCTCAAAAGTACCCTGGTGATGATCCCCTGGCTCCTTTTCTGCTGCCGTGCTCCAGTATTTAAGTAGGGACTAATATAGCACAGCAGAGCTGATAAGCCCAGAAGAGTTGCCACACCATTCTCAAACAATGCAGCAACTCCAGGAACCCATTTGACAGTTTAGTTTCTTACACAAGCTCCTCAAAAAAGTGATGTGAGACTCTTTGCTGGATGATAATATAAATAATAAATAACTTAGATCATTGTTTAGATCTATTAAATCTATCACTTGCTATCCCAAAGATCTTTGGTATTCTAAACTGGTTCTGTTAAGAACTTTCTTTGATGAAAGAAATGTTTTGTATTTGCATCTTCCAGTATGGCATCCCCTGCCCTGATGTTGTAGCTGTGCACCTCTTGAGATGGGGCTAGTTGAGACCAAGACTGAATTTTTAGTTTTATTTAAGTTGATTTAAATTTAGCACATAGGGCTGGTGATAACCTTATTGGACAGCACAGTTCTAGACTATGTGAATTCCTTCTGCTGGGGTCTCTATCACCCTGGCCACCCCTTTGTCACACTCAGCACCCCAGCACTCACTTGCTCGACACCTGACATACTTGCTGTGAGCTAACTTTTCTTCCTCTTTTTTACTGTTGAATGCCTAGCATCTAGCATGAGGTTGGTATTCAGTTCATTTTTATTGAATGGGAAAAATCAGGTTGGTATACAAACTTAAACCATTCTTACTACCTAGGGAACAATTTAATTATTTAGGTTTTCAGTTTAGTAGTTGTAGTTTCCTTTTCTGATCTGAACTGTATAATAATTTTAGGGTTTTGTCAAATAGGAAAATCTGAAAGGAGTCCAATTAGAGTAAAGATCATTATTACACACTTATTATTTTGGTCTCTGAGATAGCAGTGATTGCTAATCAAGTTTTCTGGGTCATTTTTTATCTGTACTCAAAGATACCACTGTGCCTCAGTTTTTCTTTTTAGTGCTTGATTTGGATTTTTAAGCTGGTAGTTTAGGCATAGGTAATTAAACATCACAAGAATATTATTTGAAGAGCCATTACTTTATGACATTCTTCTTTCAAATTATAAGTGAATAAATATGCAGTTTATTGGAAGAACATTAGTTTAAGCACAGTATTAAGAGATTTCAAGAAAACATTAAGTATTAGATGAAATCAGTATTCTTTTGATACCTTCTAATTGGAAAGAATGGTCCATTGCTGTTTTACATGTACATTTAAGAATGTCTATCAAAAATTTTTTTTTACAATAATAGAATAGCAGGACATTATAGACCCTGTTTTGTTTTTGTGTGTGTGTGTGGCTAGTCCAAAAAGAAGTCATTACTTTTGAAAAATAGATAACACAATGTGATCAGTCTCTGGGGAACTAAAAATAATTGTGCTATAGGTAATGCATAGCATATTGAAAATTAAAAATGAATTAAAATTGTCTACTGCCCCACAGAAATCTGTTAGAGAAGTTTGGAAGCTATGATACAATATGTGTACTGTGCAGTTTATATAATTAATATTGAGGTCTCCTAGCTACATATGTGATATTGGTATTAATTACAGTGTAGTAGTAGCTAGTGGGTTTCCTATAATTGAATTCCTTCATGGCCACTCAGTCTATAAAAATGCAAGCCTAGACAGGACTGTGTTTTGAAAATTAGAAAAATTGCAAATGTTCCTATGTGTTTGATTGTAACTGCTTTAGAGTCATAAATGGATTATAGCCTCAGAGGACAAGTACAGTGGTAGACTTTTAATTTTAAAAAATGACAAAAATGTAATTGCAAATTAGATGGAAATTTTACCCTATGGTCTTCTAGCTAACTTAGCATCTGAACTCATGTGTTAATGTTCCACTTAAGTTTTCAAAACTCATTGACCAAACCCAGCACCATGTTTTCTTTTTGTTTGTTTGTTTTTTTTAGCACCATGTTTTTTTTTTTTAGCTATTTCCTTCAGATTTATTCTTTCCACATGTGAAACGAAATAATTAAAACACCTCATCAGCTTTTAGAGCTTGAGTTGTTCTTTTTTTTTTCTTTGTCTTTATTTTTTTTTAATAAATTAATTTTTATTGGTGTTCAATAAAAATATAAAATATTTATATTTATATAAATATAAAATATAAAATATTTATATTTTATAAAAGTATAAAATAATAAAAATATTCTGTATGTGTTCAACATACAGAATAACACCAGTGCTCATCCCGTCAAGTGTCCCCCTCAGTGCCCGTCACCCATTCACCCCCACCCCCCGCCCTCCTCCCCTTCCACCATCCCTAGTTCGTTTCCCAGAGTTAGGAATCTTTATGTTCTGTGTCCCTTTCTGATATTTCCCACACATTTCTTCTCCCTTCCCTTATATTCCCTTTCACTATTATTCATATTCCCCAAATGAATGAGAACATACACTGTCTTTCTCCGATTGACTTACTTCACTCAGCATAATACCCTCCAGTTCCATCCACGTTGAAGCAAATGAGCACCATGTTTTCTTATAAAAACAGTAAAGTTCCCTTGAAAGATTAACGTGAAGATTGCTTAGATGTGGAATAAGTAGAAGGAAAATGCTGTAGTGTGTTATTCTTCATGCCATGTTTCTTGCTTTCCCATGTACTTTACTGACTCCTTTGAATCCTTTTTTTTTTTAAAGAAAAAATTGAATATACCTAGTGATAGCATGCATAAATGGTAAATGTGCAGGCCAGGTGGGGTAATAGAGTGTGTATTCCAGCATCTGTGACACACACCTGTTCTCATTTGGTATTTCTGTTGCAGTAATGTGCCTAGTGTCGGGAGCCTAGCAGATCCAGACTATCTGAATACACCACAGATGAACACACCAGTGACGTTGAACAGCGCTGCCCCAGCCAGCAACAGTGGAGCAGGAGTTTTGCCATCTCCAGCAACCCCTCGCTTCTCCGTCCCCACACCACGAACCCCCAGGACCCCAAGAACTCCCAGAGGTGGGGGCACTGCCAGTGGTCAAGGGTCAGTTAAATATGATAGCACCGATCAGGGGTCACCAGCCTCTACCCCCTCTACCACACGGCCCCTTAACTCTGTGGAGCCTGCCACCATGCAGCCAATTCCTGAAGCCCACAGTCTCTATGTCACCCTGATTCTCTCAGATTCTGTGATGAATATCTTTAAAGACAGAAATTTTGACAGCTGTTGCATCTGTGCCTGCAACATGAACATCAAAGGGGCGGATGTTGGGCTTTACATCCCTGACTCTTCCAATGAGGATCAATATCGCTGTACCTGTGGGTTTAGTGCGATTATGAATCGTAAACTTGGCTATAATTCGGGACTCTTCCTGGAAGATGAGTTGGATATTTTTGGGAAGAATTCTGATATTGGTCAGGCTGCGGAGAGGCGCTTAATGATGTGTCAGACTACCTTCCTTCCTCAGATGGAAGGAGCCAGAAAATCCCAGGAGCCACCTATAAGCCTTCTCCTCCTCCTCCAGAATCAACATACACAACCTTTTGCTTCACTGAGTTTCCTGGACTATATTTCCTCTAACAGTCGTCAGACTCTTCCCTGTGTAAGCTGGAGTTATGACCGGGTACAAGCAGATAATAATGATTACTGGACGGAATGCTTTAATGCCTTGGAGCAGGGCCGACAGTATGTAGATAATCCCACGGGTGGAAAAGTAGATGAAGCTCTGGTGAGAAGTGCCACTGTACACTCTTGGCCTCATAGTAACGGTAGGTTTCCCAGAATACATATTTACTTTAAAAATTATCTTGGCATGATGGCAAATGATAAACTTTCTTTAGTTTGTTATATGACAGAAGTTTATTTCTTAAAAAAAAAAAAGAAAGATCTCTGTTGAGAATCTTCCTGAATTTAAGAATTGGAGCAAATGTTTTATATTGAAACATCTTTGAGGCAAGTAATTATTTTGTGAAGACTTCTATTAATTCCTATAGACAGTTAGTGCGGGGAAACCTACAACTGCTAAGTGTCAGCATCGTCGGGGGTACACAGATGAATAGTTTGCACATGTTGCGTGTTTAAATTCACCCATTCTTCTAGATGAGTTGTCCGTGATACTTCCTCCATGAAACCTTCTACCGATTTACCGAGCATTTTCTCCTTCCTGTTTTTCCAGTATTTTGCATCTCTTATAACAATGATCACAGTTTACTTTGTGTTATGGTTCCTGAGGCACGTCACTGACTCTTCTATTATTAAAAGTTCCAGTTGACAAATACCTGTGATGTTGAGCTCTAAGCATGCCATACAAGTTGCTTTTCCCTTCCCTTCTTCATTTACTATCTATACTGCGATGCATCCTGGGTGATAAAATGACTGAAAGAGACAAGGTACCTCTCTGAGGGACTTCCTAATCTGTCCTGGAAAATGGACATCAGATTAAGCAAATAATAACACAGATTAGCATATTAGAAACCCATCATAAGCAATTAGAAAAAAAAAACAAAACATGGAGTGGGAGGGCCTTCCTAGACTGGGGGTCAGGGAAGACCTCCTTGAAGAAGTAGTAACATTAGAGATCTCAGTGCCAGTACAGATTAACTGGCTAAAGAGGCTAGAGAGCAAGGAATTGTATCCCAGACAGAAGGAACAGCAAGAGTGGTATAGAGTTGTATAGAGCTTGGGGCTTTCAAAGAACCGAATGACTCTGTCTCTCTCAAATAAATAAATCTCTCTCTCTCTCTTTTTTTAAAGGGGGTTGGAACCTGGGTGGCTCAGTTGATTAAGCATCTGACTCTTGATTTCGGCTCAGGTCGTGATCACAGGGTTGTGAGATTGAGCCCCAAGTCAGGCTCTGTGCTTGGTTTGGAATTTGCTCCAGATTCTCTGTCTTTCCCCCTCTCTGTTGGCCCCTCCCCCCCAAATAAATACATACATCTTCAAAGAACTGAAGGAAACTTGGAGCTGGCTAGATCTCCAAGAGCAATTTGAGACCTGTTGGGGCTGGGGTCTTTATCCCAAGAACCCTAATAAGTCATTGGTGGGTTTATGAAGAGGCATTGACATCTGATTTGTGTAAAGAAACCAGCTCTGACTACAGTGCGGACTGTGGATTTGGGAATAGCAGAATGGTGGAAAGACAAGGTTAGTGCAACTGCTCAAATGAGAAATAATAGCTGGTTTCTTATCTTAGCAAAGGGGATGGAAAAAAAGTAGAAACATAAGGTATGTTGAGGAAGTGGTAGGACTGCAGGGCTGGGTAGTGGGTTGGATTTCAGGGGTCAGAGAGAGATGTTAAAGAAGACACCCAGGTTTGTGATGTGTATACCTGGAGAGGTACTGATCGTTCGAAGATAGGTGTACTGGAGGAAGGCTAGGTCTGGGGAGAATCGCTCCTAAGTTGAGTTTTGGAAATTATAAAGATCTCTTCTTGAGATATCCAGGTAGAGATGTCAAGTAAACACTTGGGAGTTTATGGGCCTGCAGCTCAGGGGAAAGGGAGTAGTTGGCTTATAGATAGTAAAGTCAGGCACAGAGGAGGAGGAAAGCTAGGATGACAAGATGGCTTGGGACAGAGCTTTGCTGAATTCTGCTGTGTAACCAAGTTTTAAGAAAAAGAGTGGTCAGGAAGCATTAAAGCACAGCTGAGCTTTTAAGAAGAGGATTAAGTATGTCTTTTGACCACGGTGAGGAGCTACTTCTGTAGACTACTTCACTAGAGGGATGGGAATAGGTTGGGCTGGAATGGTTGGTTACATGAATGAAACATGGAGCTTGCTCTGAACAGCTCTCAGCCTTGTAGGGGAGAAGGCTATATAAGCTTCTTAAATAACAGTTGGAAATCTAGAATGAGGAAGTATGCTTAGAGGACAGAGATCATTGGAGTGAGGGATGATAGGCATTTTTTTGAGTAGCCAGGCCCAGAGACTTCTCAGAGGTGGAGACTTGTAAGAAAGTATTCAAGGGGGGATCCCTGGGTGGTGCAGCGGTTTAGCGCCTGCCTTTGGCCCAGGGCGCGATCCTGGAGACCCGGGATCGAATCCCACGTCGGGCTCCCAGTGCATGGAGTCTGCTTCTCCCTCTGCCTATGTCTCTGCCTCTCTCTCTCTCTCTCTGTGACTATCATAAATAAATTTTAAAAAAAAAAGTATTCAAGGATTACACTCATTTCTGTAACTGCTGAGTTTTGAGCACTGTGCCTTGTACTTAGCAGGCCTCTAATTAATGTCTGCTGGATGCATTTATGAATTACAGAAAGTACAGTCTTTCCCCTCTAAAGAAATGTGGGTGATTATCTTGGGCGGTTCCTTTTACTAGATAGTAGCCTTCAGACAGAAAAGCAGTGAGTAGGTGGATCAGTACTGTCATCTTTGGATATGAAAAATAGCAGATTTTATCGCAGGGGAGGTGTGGGTTCCAAAGTCAGAAGCTTAACAGTATCAGACAGATAATGTAAATGAGTAAATGATGCTGGAGCAGATTTGCAAACAGCAGTGCACTCACTACATCTTTCCGTGCACACGTTCCATTCTGTGTGCACAGGAATAGCCACAAGGGATGATGTCTGCTTTTATTTTTCTCTAACCTGTGATTCTCTTTGTCATTTTCCAACTGTTGATAGAGAGCCATGGGTACAAGAAGTACCTTTTTCTTTACTATAGGAAAAAAAAGAAGCCCAGGTTTGAAGGTACAGGTGATCATCCCTGCTTCCTTCTCAGGTAGGCAGCAGAGCTGAGTGAGGAGGGCCTCTGAAGGGGGCAGTTGCTCCTTGGCTTCAGCGCTGCTGCTTATGCAAGAATGGGGCCTGCTGCTTGCCAGGTCTCCCAGTTTGTCAAGAGATGCTGGAAATTTACATTAGCAACTGGTGTTTGATTTAGGGATCACCTAGAGGTGTCTTAAGCATCCTGTGTTTCTTTAGTTGGTAGATAAATCTTAGATTTCCATCCATGCCCCTTTCCTAATCAGCTAGAGAAGGAAAGGTCTTTAGGTACACAGCTGTGCAGGTTCACAGCTGATCACCTCAAACTTAATTAGCTCTTTCTTCAGATCTCTTTGAGAATTCAGTGAGCATTACAGACCTGTCTCCCTGGGAAAGAATATGCACATGTTCGTGTGTGCACAATTTTGCAGACTTTGAGAGCTTTTTTCAAAGGTTCTATGTTAAGAGCCCCTCCTCTTAATAGGAAGGATGTTTCTTCTGAAACCTTGAATCCCACCTTCCTGTGTGGACAGCTGGCTTTCAGTCCTGCTGTTGCTTTTGCCATGTTTTCTTGTGCTTCTGTCTGCCTGGAAGGTTATATTTCTCTCTGTGCACTTTGTATTTTGTGAAGATATTTTGTATTACGAGCTTTTTTAACAGTTGTGAAGAGCTTCTATTTAAGTTTTTCCTCCTAGTTATTATTCATTCAAAACAGTGATATTTGTAAATAAAATAATAAATAATTAAGAAACTTTTACAGCTCTCTTTTCCTATGAACAACCTTGGAAACAGGTTTGTATGATTTTAAAGAGTCAGGCTTATCTATCTTTTTACTTCTAATCTCCTATAGTTAACCTCCTATATATAGAGGAACCCATTTCTCCTTTTATTATTTCCACTAATAAATTATAAATTACTTTATAATAATAAGATAAGAAAATATCTTTTCTCTCCCCTGCTAGGTCAAGCATTTTAGAATCTACTAAAAATAAAATCTACCACCAGTAATGTCTTTGTCACGGACTATAACTGAGGTCCAGAATGATGGCAGAGAGAAGAAGAGCGTGCCGGTCCCCCTTTATGATCTCCATTCCTTTCATTTTCTTTCTTTTCCAGTGCTAGACATCAGCATGCTCTCCTCCCAAGATGTGGTCCGCATGCTGCTGTCCCTGCAGCCCTTTCTCCAAGACGCCATCCAAAAGAAGCGCACGGGCAGGACCTGGGAGAATATCCAGCATGTGCAGGGGCCGCTAACATGGCAGCAGTTCCACAAAATGGCGGGACGGGGCACCTATGGTAGAATCTCTTCCCTGTTTTAAATTTCTTCGTGATTTTTTTTTGTTCCATAAAACCCAGCTTTAGTTACTGTCAAGTCCTTGCTTCACTGATAAAATAGAATCTTTTTCTTCATGGCTATTAAGGTTTATAATCTCTTTTCTTTCCTAAAGTCAGTTTGGAATTAAGTTTTCTAAGCATCCTTGGCAGAATCAAGGTCAATGAGGAAAATAATCCTTAAAGAGATTATTTGTTAGATTTTCCTCATTTTCCCGATCCTCATTGCATTTCATCTGGATGAACATCTGAACTAGTTCTGTCAGCTTCTTCATAGTCAGGATTATAGTGCTTATTTTAAAGGAAATGGTGTAGTACTGCCTGGAAAACTAACTTTAACTTGTTCTAGTCTGCCTTCTGATCTTATTGGACCTTTATTAGAGCATTCTGACTCATTGAAATAAAGTTCTTCATCATGGGCCACATAATTAGAGGGTTTGAAGAATACTTTTGAGAGTGATTCTGTTAACCTACAAGGAAATTTCTGATGCCAGAATTAAAACTAATGCAGCAAGAACTTCAAGGTCTCCAGCTTGTGCAAAACAGACTCACAAGCCCTTCCTAATGGCCTTGTTCTTACAGGTTCAGAAGAATCTCCTGAGCCGTTGCCCATTCCCACTCTGCTGGTAGGCTATGACAAGGACTTCCTCACCATCTCTCCATTCTCTTTGCCATTTTGGGAGAGGCTGTTGTTGGACCCATACGGGGGCCATCGTGATGTTGCCTATATTGTGGTGTGTCCAGAAAATGAGGCCTTGCTCGAAGGAGCCAAAACTTTCTTCAGGGACTTGAGTGCTGTATATGAGGTGAGAACGACATGAAAACCACTTTCGTGATGAGTCCTCAGGTGGTTTCTAGCTATGACCAAATTTTAAAGAACAAGTATCTTCAAGGTAGATCTCAAAAGAAAATTTGCAAATAGCTGGAGGATGAAGGAGAGGATTAAATTGGCAAGTTTTCCTGGAAGTAAAATTGCTTTATCATCTTGACTTAACATTTTGTTAGATTTAGAAGACTGCTCTACCTGCCTTACCACACATCTTACAATTGAGCTATTTTTTCCCTCATTTTTGTGCTCAAGTTTAAAAGTATTGCTTACCAGGGAGTCTTCTGGCTGCTCAGAAGATGACCTTTACAAAAAGGAGGCACGTCTCTCTGGGGTGGGGCTGGGTTTGTGGAGGAGAGGAGGGAGGGTGGGGGAAGGATCCTGAAAACAGTATAAAAGTGTTTAGCTTGAAGATTTCTGAATCAGAAGATAAGTTTAATGAATCATGTCTCTGTTGTATATTTAACACTACATCCTAGTACTAAAATTTTGAGACGCATTAATAATGTAATAACCATAATTTAAAAGCCAGTAGATAATTTTACATGTTTAGTGCATAAATTACTGTTACTTTTGAAAAATTAGAATCATGAGTATCTTTGAAGGGTGCCGTATTTTTTCTGCCAAAGTATATGTACATTAAATATTTGTATCTTATACTTCTAATATCTTTACTTTTGGCAAGATTAAATGAAATTAGTATTTATGAAGAACTATAACAGGCATATTATAAACATTACAAGAGTGTTAAATAAGATGCAAGTTGAATTTCAAAAATATTTTGTAACAGAACATTTGCTATCTAGAAATGGATGGGCCTCCACGAAATAATAAACTTACATGTTGCTACAAAGAAATTAGGAGATGGTAATGTATGAGGTAATGGCATCAGTTAAGCCCCTAAAGGAACCCTTAGATACAGTAATTCTGTACAATGCCTGGCCCATGGATGTGTAATGCTGTTAAATCATAAGGACCATAACACAGAAAACTTGTCTAAGCAATTCTTTTTAAGGCTTGGTTCTTCTCTTGGATGAAACTTTCAACATGAGTTACGAAACATAAAAGGATTGCTGGATCTTTTTAGATCCTAATGACTTTAGTAGGATTGCTCATTTGGTGGTAGTGCATACCTGGTTAAGAAGAGTGTGTGCTAGAGAACTTTGTAGGGGGTTGGTAAGCCTTCAGTTGTCAACTCTAATAAGGGGTAACGTGGGCTCTTCTATTGGTAAATAGATAGTTAAGTAGCTTAACTTTTTACAGGTGTATTACATTAATTCTTTGCCATAAGTACCCATTTAATGTTCTGGAGATTAATAACAATCTCATTGTGCTTAAAACAACTATTTACTTTTTTAAAGTGATCAGCATATCTACTGCTTTAGTGGCCTCTGCTATTGGTGATCTCCAAATGTCTCTAACAGTGTAACAGATGGCCCATAAAATGTTAATGTTATCTTATGGGAAAACATTATGAGTAGGGATTACTTAAGAGGTTTTAGTGGACATATGTCACAGTCAGCCTTAGTAGGCAGGAATCTGGTTAATTCTTTTTTTTTTTTTTTTTTTTTTTGGTTAATTCTTTATTTGACCATTAGCAATCAGGTAATGTTCAACAATCTTCCCTTGTGTGGGAGGAATTGGCTCGGGTGAAGAAACATTTGTTTTTCTTTAGATGGTTTAGTCCAGGTTTTGGAGAGACACATAGCAGTTTCAGCATACATTATAATTACCAGAAAGGACCAGTGTATAATGTTGGTTTGGTTGCTTGTGTTAACACTAAAAGAAAAAGCAAAGCACTTCCATGTGTATGATAAAGAATTTCCCCCACTAACAACAGGAGTGGTTCCTGTTGTAAATAACAATCTTGTTTGTGGTATCAGATGTGTAGGCTTGGGCAGCACAAGCCCATCTGCAAAGTGCTACGAGATGGGATCATGCGTGTGGGAAAGACCGTGGCACAGAAGCTGACTGATGAGCTTGTGAGTGAGTGGTTTAACCAGCCATGGAGCAGTGAGGAGAATGACAATCATTCCAGACTCAAACTTTATGCGCAAGTTTGCCGCCATCACCTAGGTAAGTGGGAATTTATTTGGCAAAGTAGAATCTGAGAAGTAAAATAGCAAATTGCCCCCCTTTGGGAAACAGCATTATGCTGCTTTTTTTTTCAGGTAATGTTAGTGTTCCATTACTGTATTTATTTAGGTCTGATTTCTGGGTTCTAGGTCATTAAATGCTAATTTTTATGTGCACACATATTTTTTAAAAGCAACTTAAAGTTGCCTAAAGAAGTCGTATCTAATTTACTCCACATTTTGAAAATCTAGCAGCAGGACTTGGTATTAACTGCTTAAGTTTAACCAGCGTTCCCAAGAGAATCTTAGAAGCTTTTAAAGCTCAGTACACATAGGAGCAGGTATACTGTGATGGCTGTAGAATATATGGCCTCTCAGTTTTCAGTGAAGGCATATAGAATCAGTCTGAAAGGAAAATGTTACAAAGGATTAATTTTCTCTCTTTTTTCCAAATAAACCTCTTCACCAGAATTTGTAATAAGTAGCTCCACTTTTATCTCCATGTTTGCAGAATATATAAGCATATATTCAAGTGCAGAGATAGCATTTTGGGTTCATAATCAGAGTACTGCAGCCTAAAAGCATAATCTTTAAAAAAGTGACCGTCATGAATTTATGATTCAGTCTGACACTGATGTCATCTCTCTGCATGTACTCTTTCAGCACCTTATCTAGCCACTCTGCAGCTCGATAGCAGCCTGTTGATACCACCTAAGTACCAGTCCCCACCAGCAGCAGCACCGGGACAAGCTACACCTGGGAATGCTGGGCCTCTAGCTTCAAATTCAGGATCGACAGTGTCCTCAGCTGGCAGTGCATTCAACCCCACCTCCAGCAGCAGTTCTGGGAACCCTGCAGCAAGTAGCTCCGCGTCTGGTTCCTCTGTGCCACCCGTTTCATCGTCTGCTCCCGCTCCAGTTATTAACCAGATCAGCACTACCTCTTCCTCAGGATTCAGTGCTAGTGTTGTGGGGCAGAACCCCGGCACTGGGGCCAGTTCTGCAGATAGAACGCAAGGGAACCTAGGCTGTGTTGGAGACCCTGAGCCTGGGCAGAGCTCCTCCCAATCCTCGCAGGATGGACAAGAAAGGTACTGTGTGTGCCCATGGAGGCGGGTGGCTTCAGCTTGGACCCCTTGCCTACCTTCTGCACCCTTACCCCTCCATAGCCTCCCGAATCTCTTAATCTAGTGAAGGGCTCCATTTCTCTTCTTCCAAAAGGAAATAACAACTTAGTCACTAGCTTTAGTGTTACGAAATGTGAAGACTTCTTATGAACTTACTAAACTTATTAACTTCATAGTAAGCTATTACTGTTAATCCTGCTATTATTATGGGAACATAATATATGGATAATAGCAATAGTAAGCTGTTATCACTAACATTAATAGTATTATAAAACATCTTTTTGGACTATAGCCCCAGGAAAAGAGGGAGTGGAAAAAGATCTCCCATTTAAAGGAGTGTGTTACCATTTCTTTTTTTTTTTTTAAGATTTTATTTATTCATGAGAGACACCCGGGGGGTGGGTAGAGACACAGGCAGAGAGAGAAGCAGACTCCATGTAGGGAGCCTTACGTGGGACTCGATCCTGGGTCTCCAGGATCAGGCCCTGGGCTGAAGGCGGTGCTAAATCACTGAGCCACCTGGGCTGCCCTGTATTACCATTTCCCACCTGTCCTGGTACTAAATGGCTTGGTTTGCCTTCATTTTGGTAATACACATATTAATGTCACATTTAATCTGTAATCATTGTCCAGGGGTGTGTTCTGGAACTGGTTATTTTGCATGACTTAAGTTTATTTTGTGCATCTCATAAGTGGCTCTTTCTGCAGTGTCACGGAACGAGAGAGAATAGGAATTCCCACTGAGCCTGACTCCGCAGACAGCCAGGCCTATCCCCCAGCTGTTGTCATTTACATGGTGGACCCCTTCACTTACACTGCAGACGAAGATTCCACTTCTGGAAACTTTTGGCTGTTGAGTTTGATGCGCTGCTACACAGAAATGCTGGATAATTTACCTGAGCATATGAGAAATTCTTTCATTCTCCAGGTAACTATTTGCAAATTTATCTTTAGCTTTTGTTGTTTTTTTGGTGAAATAACAAGTCATGATTTTTTTTAATTGGAATTACATGAAAACTATAAAGGGAAAGATACTCATAATTATTCCTTTAACTTAAGTCACCATTGCATAGCATTTCGGTGTATTTCTAGCCTTTTTTGTATATGTTTACAGAGTTGAGATGCTACTTTTAGTATAATTTTTAGTCCTTTATACTTAACATTTTTCATGAATACTTTTGCAGGTTGTTAAAAATTCTCACAAGCATCATTTGTAATGACCACATGTTCTCCACATTTAATTATTGTGCCGTTAGATATTTAATTTGTTTCTAAATTTTTTCACATTTCGGGTCATTTCTTAAAGTGGATTCTTAGATACACTGATAAATAATGCCAGATTCTTTTCCAGAAAAGTTAGCCTATTTACATTCCCTTCAGCAGTCAATGAGCATGCCTCTTTCACTATTGCCTTGCCAGCTTTTATAGTGTAATAATTTTACCAGATTTTGATAACAGGTGAAAAATGATACCTTGGGTGTTTGGATTTTGATTTACTGTCACTTTCGCTAATGCCATCTTAACAGAATTAAAATACTGAAATTAAAGTTACTGGAATAGGTTGTTGATTGCTTTTCATTGTGAAGTTTGTGTCTCACATCCTTAGACAGTAATTCCAAAGTTACCATGCACACTATGTGTATATATGATAAAAAGGAGAACAATATTAAAAAGCAAGTTTTAAAATTTTGGAGCCTGGCAACAATAAATTGCCAAATTACCCCTGAAAAGGGAGCAGGGTAGTTTCTAAGTGACTGTAACTTGGACTAACAAGATGACACCCTGTTCTTCAGGTGTTGGTGTATCTTTGTAATAGAGGATTTTATGTCATCTAAGGAATTAAGATTGAGTCAAATTATATTTGGCATCTTACATATTTTACTTTATTTTATTTTATCTTATTTTAATTTTTAAATAATCTCTACACCCCATGTGGGGCCAGAACTCACAACCCCGAGTTCAAGAGTTGCGTGCTCCACCGACTGAGCCAGCTAGGCACCCCTTATATATTTTAAAACTAAAGCTCCTTGCCCTCATTCAGCAAAGACTTCATGCCATTTCGTTTTCTAGCTTTCTTGTTAGCACATTAGATCTCAGTTTCTAGTTTTGTTTGTGTTTGTATGTGTAGATTGTGCCTTGCCAGTACATGCTGCAGACAATGAAGGACGAACAAGTTTTCTACATTCAATACTTGAAGTCCATGGCATTTTCGGTGTACTGCCAATGCCGGCGACCTCTGCCCACACAGATCCACATTAAGTCCCTCACGGGATTTGGGCCTGCCGCCAGCATCGAGATGACCCTCAAGAACCCAGAGGTAGGTAGTAGCACAGCAGAAATTTCTAACAGTGCTTGTATACTGGGGATACAAGCCAGGAGAGTTGGGCTGCTGGGTTGGTCTTTCGTCTTTATTAAGAGTAGTAGATTTCTCTGATCTTTAATTTAAAATAGAGGAGATACTTATCTAAACTTGTAAAATTTTTTGAGAAAAGAAGCAAGCAAACTCTTGGCGTTTTTTTTTTTTATGTAAGTCCTAAGGCAACAGTATACTCATCACTTACTTACTGATCGACTTTCCTATGTTTATTTTGTTCTTTATTTTTGGAAGCTAACCATGTATTAAATTCACTAACCTTCTTCCTTCTCCAGATCTTTTCTCTCTGGTACAGCAATTGCGTATGTCTTTTCTGATGCACATTTTTACAGGGGCTTGCTCTCTCTTCCCTTGTCTCAGTGCTTCTGATCTATAAATGAATGCTTTTTCTCTCCCATCTTCTTAAACCTACTTCCACAGATATGTACCTCTAGGGGAATTTTAAAACACCAAACAAAAGTTGTACACTTCTTTTGTTTTACTGATCACTTTATCCTGAAGATAGATGAACAGGGCACTTTTTAGAATTTTCAAAGCCTTCAACAATCAGTTCCCACAACTTTTATTGCATAAAAGATCACCCATTAATAAAAGCCAGCAAATTACCTCTTCACCATAAAAGAACTTAAAAATATCAAAAACTGCTCATTTTAGTTGGTAATGTAAGTTTTTCTGGAAAACTCCATGAAATGCTTCTCTTTTGAATAAATAACTTAAAAGTGGGAAAAAATGAGGCATGTAGTTAATACTGCATTTGTTGTCGTCACTTGATCCAGAAGAAGCTGCTTAGCCCACAACCCACATTCATTCTGTGATTATGTACAATTTCTGTCTTTGGCAGTTTAGGTTGGTTTATTCTTTGGAGTTTTAATTTTTTTTTCCACTTTTGTAAACAGTTCATATATTTTTTTGTTAGCTTTTTCTAGAATTAAAATAAATTTATTTCTTGTTTATTGTTTCTTCTTTTGTCTCCAGAAATTGAGTTATTACCTTTCTTTATAAACTTAGAATCTTTTAGTTCTTTACCTCTTGTGGTTATTCTGCAGTTCGGATACAAGCAATTCTTATGCTTTGGTAAGAAATTATCACAATTTCAAATGATAACTGATAGTGTTCTGCATTTTCATGGAGGGGAGTGAAGGCTGACTATCTAAGTAATAAGACGTCCTAAGCCATTACCTAAAAGTTTTAAAGGTTATAACATACTGGCCGAACACTGTCAGTAGTTCATGAGATAAATGGATGAATTCTAGATGAAAATAAGGGGCAAAAATAGGCCTTTTTTTTTCCGTTTTGCTTTGAAACAGGAAGAAATAAATCATTTAACTTTATTAAAAACAAAATCAAATATTACAAGTAATTCCCTAAGGTTTATAAAATTTTACATGTATTATGGTAATAGTTAATTGCTAAATGTTGCTGCTCCCTCAGTCTGCAGCTAGAACATGGATGGCACTTTCATTCAGTAAATGCAGCCCGAGTGGTCTGCTGTGCACTAGGCACTATGTTAGATGCTGAGGATGCAGTGGTGGTGAGCATGATAGCCAGGCCTCTGCATCCAGGAATTCCAGATCTCTGCTGTGGCACAGTCTCATGCAAGCACATTTTACATGAGAAGGAATATATTTTAGTATTTGCCATGCAAGTATTAGGAGAAATCCTATTGGTGCCCCTTTTGTTTTTCATAGAATATCTGGTACCTCAAAAGCAGTTTTTTACCTCATGATTTATCACAGGCTATGTGTTGCATCCAAGATACTTGACATTTACCCTTTTATTTTTGCTAAACTTTTCAGGTAGTCTCTCTGGACTGTTTTGTTTAAAAAGCTTTGCTGAGACAGAATTCGCATGTTATAATATCTACCCTCTTAAAAATTGCAGAATTTGATGGTTTTTAGTTTGTTCACAGAGTTGTGCAACTATCACTGCTGTCTCATTTTAGAACATTCTGTCAACGTGGAAAGAAACACCATACCTATTAGCAACCACTCGTGCCCCTCCCCTCTCCCACCCTTGACAGCCACTAGGCTACCTTCTGTCTCTTAGTGGGGTGCGGTTACCTATTTTGGACACTTCATATAAGTGGATCATACAATATGCAATCTCTTATGTTTGGCTTCTTTCATTTAGCATGTTTTCAAGGTCCATTCATACCAGAGCATGTATAGGATTTTATTTATTTTTATGGTTAAATGATATTCCATTGTATGGATATATACCACATTTTGTTGACTCATTCTTTAGTGGATGGACATTTGAGTTTTTCCACTTTTTAGCTATGAATAATACTGCTGTGAACATTTGTACACAAATGTTTGTATTTAAAATGTTTTCTAAAAAAAAATAAAAAATAAATAAAATGTTTTCTGTTCTCTTGGTAAATATATACGAGTAGACTTTCCAGGTGTAGGGAGAATGAATGGATCGATGATAAGGTTAGCCTTGAGTCTTTGAGCACGTTATTGAGTATTTTTAGGCCTGTGTTTTGTGTCCCTAAAATGAAGGAATTGGATTAGACTCTTTCTCAAGTCTTTATTTTAGCTCTAAAATTCTGTAATTCCATTATTACTATTTTTTATGCCATATATCAGTATGTATGCATGTATAAATGTATGTGTGTTCATTGAGGGGTTGGGAGCTTTGGCTGTGGGTTCAATCCAGCTACAGCCTATGTTAGTATGACCTGGGTAGGAATAATTGCTACATTTTGCTTGTAAGAAGAGAGACCCATAAAGCCTAAAATATTTACTCTCTCTCCTTTATGGAAGTTTGCTGACCCCTGCTGTAGGTATTAAATACTGAAATGTGTATAATAGCTGTAAACAATGATGACAACCAAAGTTTGTCACAGTTTAAAATATTTGTCTTACCGGAACAGCTAATGCTTTGATTTCTAAAATCACACACACACTAACGTATAATAAACATACTGAAAAGTAGCCAATCATAAGTATACTGCTTGGTGAATTTTCACTGAACACATTATGTAAGAAGCACAAGAAAGAAAACCTAAGAAGCATCGAGAAACTTCTTTCATGTTCCTTCTAGTCATTCTAACAGTAATCACCGTTCTGATTTAACAGCAACATACCTTGCCTGTTTTTGACTTTCATGTAAATTGAGTCATATAATTGGTATTTTCTATGTCTGGCTTCTTTCGTCCACTGTCATGATTCATCTGTTCTGTTGCATGTAGTGGTAGTTTTTCATGTCTTTGCTGTTTAATATTCTGATTGTATAATAAGAACACAGTTTATCTTCCATTTTACTGTTGGTGGGCATTTAGTTATTTTTTATTTGGAGCTGTTATAGTTAAAACTCTTGTGAACATTCTTACACCTGTCCTTCAGTAAACATATGTTCTTTGAATTGGATCAGAGGGTATGTGTGTGTGTGTTTGGCTTTAGCAGAGATTGTCACTTTTCCAAAGGGATTACATCACCAGCAGCGTCTGAAAGTTCTCATTGCTCCACATTCTTACTGATACTTAGTGTTTTCTTTTTTATTTGACATTCTGGTAATATGTAGTGGTATTTCATTGTGGTATTAATTTCTGCTTTCTTGATGACTAATGAAGTGGTGCCAGTTTACTTTCTAAAATAGTAATTTATTTTAATAAGGAAACACTAGCTTGATTGGGGTTCCCTAGCTGATGTCATTAAACAATCTTTTTGTTTCTGTTTTATCATTAGTATTTATGTATGTAATACCTCTGGGGGGCAGATTGTTGTCATTACTCCCTATTGGTTTCAAGTGCTATTCTGGGTTTTGTTGTAAACATTGAGTTGGGTGGCTTTGTGTTGATAACGGACTTTTATTGTGATTTCAGCGACCCAGCCCAATCCAGCTTTATTCCCCTCCTTTTATATTGGCCCCAATCAAAGATAAGCAGACGGAGCTGGGAGAGACATTTGGGGAGGCGAGCCAGAAATACAACGTCCTCTTTGTGGGCTACTGTCTGTCTCATGACCAGCGCTGGCTTTTGGCTTCCTGCACTGACCTCCATGGGGAATTATTAGAAACTTGTATTGTAAATATCGCTTTACCAAACAGGTGAGGAGCCTCAGTGTTTATGCTGCATATAAATTGATACTATGCCTTTCCTCAGATAGGAGTCATTCTGATTTTCCTTCTAAATGCAGTAGGTGCCCCGGTGGTGGGTTCTTTGGAATTTTCTGGGTTTTATCTTACTAAGTGATAACTTTGACTCATTTGGGGCCCTTTTCCCTACTTCTTTCCTTTTTAGATCACGGAGGAGTAAAGTATCTGCACGTAAAATTGGACTACAGAAGTTATGGGAGTGGTGCATAGGAATTGTCCAGATGACATCTCTACCGTGGAGAGTTGTAATCGGCCGACTTGGGCGCCTAGGCCACGGGGAGCTTAAAGGTGAGGGATTCCTGAAGCAGTCAGTACAGGAAACAAAGGAAAAGTGTTGAGCTAATGTCCCTACATGAGCCAATGGAGGAAATTGCAAAGTTGGTAGTAAGAATAAAGCAGATTTATATCTTCTAATTCTTTTATTTTTTTAATTATTTTTTTAAGATTTTATTTATTCATGAGAGACACAGAGAGAGGGAGAAGCAGGCTCCATGCAGGGAGCCCAATGTGGGACTCGATTCTGGAACTCCAGGATCATGCCCTGGGCTGAAGGCAGGCACCAAGCCTCTGAGCCACCCAGGCGTCCCTCTTCTGATTCTTTTAAATGTAGTTTTATATGCTGTTTTTAAACATTTCATCATCAACAAAGCCATTTACCAAAGAAAATCTTAAATACTGAACCCCAATTATAAGACAGAAAAAAGAATGTTCTATTAATCTAAAATTGATACTAAATTAGAACTTCCAAGGCTTATTTATGTACTGAGTCAGTGAGATCAAGTCAGCTTTAACATGAAAATTCCAGTGAGAGATTATGGACAATAGAAGAAGTCGTATATAAGAATAGACTTCAGTTTCTTTTATTTATTTTTGGTGATTGATGGTGATAGAGTTTGTATTTATTTTCTGTTGGCACAAGAGCAAGATAATCCTGATTTGCAAGGACAAGTAGTTGCAAGTTGGAATGGTCCTTATTCACATTGCAACTCTCTGATGGTCTTCAGTCTGAAGGCTTAAGAGAGCAGACTTTTTAAGTTGAATTCCCAAATATACCTACCAACTGCTAATATTTCCCATCATAAATATAACAGCTACAAAGCACTAAAGTAGCTAACAACATAACTGACCACTGGCTTTGAGCCAAGCTCATTTGCTGTCTTAGTGTAGCTACTTTACATGAGCAGTATGAATATTTCTAGATAATTTTTTAAGGCTTATTAATTAATGACACCTTTATAAAAAGCTTAATATGTACATTTGGATGGGAGAGGTTTCTTTTTTTTTCCCCTCCCTAAGGTCTACACAAAAACAAAGCATATGCCACAAATAAGCATGGTGGTTTTTTGTTGTTGTTGTTGTTGTTGTTTTAAGATTTTATTTATTTTTTCATGAGAGGCACAGAGAGAGACAGAGAAACAGGCAGAGGGAGAAGCAGGCTGCCCGCAGGAAGCCCGATGTGGGACTGGATCCCGGGTGTGCGGATCATGCCCTGAGCCAGCCAGACATCCCAGCATGGTGGTTTTGTGCGTGCAAATATGTTAGAGCAGGTCAACAGCCTTTCTATGTAAAGGGCCAGGTAATATTTTCAGCTCTGCAGACCAGTGTGTCCCTATTGCAGCCTCTCAATTCTGCCATTGTAAAGTCAAAGCAGCCACAGACAACACCTAAGTTGTGTGTTTGGCTGTGTTCCAATAAAACTTTATTTACAAAAGCAAGTGGTGGGCAGGATTTGGCCTGCAGACCATAGTTTGCAGAACCCTTGCATTAGAGTGCATATATTGTTTCTTTGCATGAAATTTATATCAGGTATTTGTGGAGTCTCTGAAATAAAACCCGATATGGATATAACTTGCATTGTAGCAAGTGCTCAAGTAAGTTAACTATTAGGGTTTAATAGTTGTTTATACATACATTACATTACATAAGTATTAAGTGTTTTCTTAGGGATCTATTATGTGCAAATTTTTTTTGACTAATTATACTGTAGGCTAATAGAAAATATTACCCTTTTCATTTTTTAAAGAATATCATACTTATAATGAATCTTGTATAAGTAGCCTGGAGGTCTGATGCATTGGGGGATTCATCATTTCATTTCTGTCAGAATTCCTGTCCTCTCTGTTGGTATGCCTTGTAGTCAGTCTTCCTCTTAAAGGGTTTAAGCTACTCTTAACCCCTGGGAAAAGTTGAAATATAATAGAAAAGAAGAAGAGGGGATAAAAATGTAGTCTACTAGTCTAGTCACTTGGTGTTTTGGACAATTATTAAGGCCACTGCCTTCCCTTGAATGATTTTTTTTTTTAAGCAGGAGCACCCCCTTCTTATCTCTTAAGGGAAAGCAATGCGAGTGGGACTGACCCATCAAAAGGTTGAGAGAAAACGTACTTTCAAGGGATAAGACACCCAGAGGAGCCTAGTGTGCAGGAAATCAGTTTGACAATCTACATTTCATTCCTGTGGGAATCTGAGGTCTGTGCTGCATTGCATTGCTGTGGGACAGTATCATACATGAGCCTACAGATTTCAGAGTCAGCTTTGTAAAGTTTTGTTTTTTATCACCAGAATATTTGTGGTAAAATACAGATACCACCTTTCCTTTCTTAATTTGGTTTTATTTTTTTTTATTTTTATTTTTTTTTTCTTCTTTGGTTTTAAATCCAGAACTCATGCCTGTTTGATTTTTCTATGGCTTTACAAAATACATTCTTCATGTCTTGGCCACTTTTACTTCAGCCACTTCAGTTTGGGTATTTTTAGGAATATGAAATATGAAAAAAATTGTTCCTTTTACAAATTCATTAAGGGGAGAACAGTGTGTTTGAAAAACTTAGTGAAAGTAGAAACCTGTAGCGGGGGAATGGTCTTTCATCAGTGGGACAGGACATGGATAGCAGTGTGCTACTGCAGGAGTATGGCATGCTTCATGTCTGTTGGGTTGGGAGTCAAAAGAGAAGACAAAGTACTTTTCCATTCCCAGAGTAACATAACCCTCTACAGTTCTCTGAGTAGACATAGTGCCTTTGTGTGGAGGCAGTAAACAAATAATAGAAAATTTGTGCCAGCGTTTTAATCTGGACAATTAGTGCTACATCATTTGGAGCACTTCACTCACACTCATTGTTTATCAGCTCTCTTGAGCCTTCTAAGAAGAATTCCCCTTGTTTCTGCATGGCTTGCCTTTCATGGAAACAGCCAGCCTACAGCAGTAAACAAAACTGAGGTTTGCCTCCAACTGTGCATTCTTCTAAAGAAAAGTGCTGATGTGGGGGCAGGGTGGGGGGAGTGAAAGAACCATACCTGGAGAAAAAGGAGAAGAAAGAACAGACTGGCCTCATCATCAAAAAGCATATGAAGTGCCTAAATCTATGTGGATCTGTGCTGGACTCTCCCAGCTCATTTCAGACATTATTTTAGTCTACAGAATAGTAGGCTTTTGTTTCTTTGTTAATGAAGTGTAAGAGAGGTCAAGTAACATTTTCTTTGTAGCAAGGAGTAGAACCTGTGTAAAGCCTTATTCCCTTTAGGTCCAATCCAGGAAATTCAATTACCGAGCAAATCTGGTAAAACGCTTAAACCTCCTATCAATATGAATTTCTAAAGACTGTGTATGACTCTGATACCTGATTTCAGATTGGAGTATCCTCCTTGGAGAATGTTCACTACAGACAATCAGCAAACGGCTCAAGGATGTGTGCCGGATGTGTGGAATCTCTGCTGCAGACTCTCCTTCAATCCTTAGTGCCTGCCTGGTTGCCATGGAGCCCCAGGGGTCCTTTGTAGTGATGCCAGGTAAGTCTCTTTTTGTCAGTTTCATTAATTAGGTATCACATCAGTTCAGCTCATTCAAACTTAAAGTCTATAGACAAATGTAGAATAGACCTTCATTATCTTTGTGAGAGAAGATTGTACTTGGGGACAAAAATGGAAAACCATTGGTCTCTTCCAAGGGGAGAGGTTTGTGATTTTATTGTCTTGATGACCATAACTTGGAAGAGAGCCTAAGTTCTGGGTATGACTGGCCAGTTCCCATGGCCTGACCCTGATTGTTGTTAGTGTATGAGAATCACCCTCCAGAAACCACGAAAGTGGACACCACCATTGTGATACATATTTGAATATCCTTTTGAAGATAGATATTTGACACAAGCTCTAAGCAGCCTTGAGAGAATATTTTAAGTCTTTCTGATGTGGTTGAGGATGAATGGTGAGACAAATAGAAGTAAAGTAGTTAGCATAGTATCTGGCCCAGAGGAAGCACTCAGTAAATGGGAGTGCCAGATAGATAGCCAAATGATTGTGGCCACAGAATTTTTAAAAAATTAACAACTAAGCCATTTTATAATTTATAACTAAGGAATTTTCTACCTTTTTAAGTTTGCTTTTATCCTCCAGATATGTCTCTGATCAAGTGGGAGGTTCTATCCACTTCCTCCCTATAAAAATTAGTAGTGTTGTGTGAGAATGAGCTTATTCATCATCAGTCCTATGAGAGGCATATGTCCTATGTTTGTTGGCCTTATTAGACCCTAGGTTAATTGTTGCCTGTACCACTTTGGCAAATTTCATAAGTTCCCTGTTCTCGGTCTCATGATATGGGCATAATAGTTGTACCTCAAGGTAGGTATGATGACTGAATGAGATGATGTCAGTGAATACAGAGTTTAGCACAGAATCTGACATGTAGTAAGCATTCAATAAATGTTATAATAATTATTAGTTGAATGGTACCATTTCTACAGAATTGTATCATTTAGGAGAACAGTCCTTTATAAATTGTAAGCAAGCACAGGTAGAAAGTGGGAGACTTATTTTTAGAACTGCTTCTTATAAAAATAATTAAAGCATATTGGTGGGCTCAGCCCAATTTTATCTTAACCTTTCCTGTGTGACATGAGACTTGGGTTATCACAGCTATGTGCTCTGAGTCTGTTTCTTTGAAGATATGTCAACACTTAGATGGAACTTTAAATGTGTATCCATCTTAGCAGTTGTATCAGACTCCTGTCTCTCCAGCTCAGGTCCTCCTGAAACTTCATTTCTGGAGTTGTTTACTGATGCACAGAAGGAACTGATACAGTTCTTTCTTTCTCTTTCTTCTTTCATTTAAAGATGCTGTCACAATGGGCTCTGTTTTTGGCCGAAGTACCGCACTGAACATGCAGTCATCTCAACTGAATACCCCACAAGACGCTTCCTGTACGCACATCTTGGTGTTCCCAACATCATCAACCATCCAGGTGGCTCCAGCCAACTATCCCAATGAAGATGGGTTTAGCCCCAACAATGGTGAGTGTGGAGGGTTGGGTAGGGATAGAGCTCAGATTCTCCAGCAAGATGCAGAGCTAAAGTATGGACTCATGGGCTGCTGCATGTGTTTTAATAATCAACATATAAAATACAAAGAGGCCTGGGTGGCTCAGTGGTTGAGCATCTGCCTTTGGCTCAAACCATGATCCTGGGGTCCTGGGATCAAGTCCTGAGTCAGACTCCCTCTACCTACGTCTCTGCCTCTCTCTGTGTCTCTCATGGATAAATAAATAAAATCTTTTAAAAAAAAATAATAAAATACGAGTAGGGGATTGAAGATTGGTTAGAGAATCTGTTTGTTTTTGAAGATTCACATACCCAGTTACCAAGACCAAATAAATATTTTCCTCTCTTGAATAATTAATTTTCTACTGTTTTTCCTTAAAGGCAAAAAAAAAAAAAAAACCAAACACCTGCTTGGTAGTGTCCTCCACATGGGTGCCACTCTTCAAGTAAATAGTTGCTGATCTGATTTGAGACATATGAAGACTCCTAGGCAATATGAAGGCACTTCTGTCTTTAGCTAATCATTGGGAATCTAATTTGCTCTAAAACAACTCCTTATTTGATTATTATTTTTTTTTAATTTTAATTTTTATTTTTTTTATTCATGAGAGACAGAGAGGCACACAGGCAGAGGGAGAAGCAGGCTCCATGCAGGGAGCCCGACAGGGAACTCGATCCAGGGTCCCCAGGATCACGCCCTGGGCCAAAGGCAGCACTAAACCGCTGAGCCACCCGGGCTGCCCTCATTTGATTATTCTTAATAGATGTTTTGGTTTGATTATCTGTTAAGGCATTTGTTGAGTAATAGTTATCTATAAACTGTTAAATACTTAGTATTATGTAGCCATTCACATTGATTTTGAAGATTTTTTTAATAGTTACCCGCATTTACCCCTGTTAAAGGGGGAGGGTAAAAGGATACCAGATTTTATATATAGTATGATCATAATGGAGTAATGATATAAGAAAAAAAATAGTAGCAAAACATTCACAGTAATAGTTTTCCCTTTTTATACTTTTCTTTCCAAATTTTATGCTGTGTGTGTACCTTTTATAATGTGGGAGATGATTTCTTAATGAAAACACAATGCTTTGATCTGCTTTTGGAGTAGGCCTCCAGTTTCAGGGCAAGTTCACACCTATTAACATGTCTTAATTCAGCCTCCAGTATTTTAGATGCTAATTGGATACATAGATGGTATCTGCTCTTTTCTTGGATGGTGTCAGTTGTAACATTGTGTGATAATTAAATTGCTGCTTTAGCTCTTTTGCTATCTTTTTTTTTTTTTTTAAGATTTTATCTATTTATTCATGAGGGGGGTGTGGGGCAGAGAACACAGGCAGAGGGAGTAGCAGGCTCCATGCAGGGAGCCTGACACGGGACTGGATCCCAGGTCTCCAGGATCACGCCCTGGGCTGAAGGCGGTGCTAAACCGCTGAGCCACCAGGGCTGCCCTCTTTTGCCATCTTTTTATGTGCGTTTGGAAGCTATACAGAGTGTGGAGTTTTGTTTTATGTTCTTTATTTCTCCAATCTGTTAATACTTCACATTAGATCATTGAGAATACAAAATGAAAAAATAATTTTCAGCACCTTGCACCCAGTAGACACACATGAATAATAAATCTTACTAAGTTATTTACAGCGTGTGTTTTTGTAACATCATGAACTAACAAAATAGTATATATTGTTTAAGTTGTGGATGTGAGATATTTTTTAAATGTTTGTGTTTTTTCTCCCTCCTTTCTAGATGACATGTTTGTTGACCTTCCATTCCCAGATGATATGGACAATGATATTGGCATATTAATGACTGGGAACCTCCATTCCTCTCCCAACTCCTCCCCGGTTCCTTCCCCAGGCTCTCCTTCTGGAATTGGAGTGGGCTCTCACTTCCAGCACAGTCGGGTAAGGATGATTTGAAGTAGGTTGTTTAAAACAACCTCAGCCCTCAGGGAAAATAATCCTCTGGAAGTGTAATCACCTCTTTCTGTCATGTACCTTTCTTCTAATGGTCTTGGTCCCTGGTACAAGAGAAATCAGTGTGGAAAAGTGACTCTGTAGTTGTTCTATTTTGTATGCAGGCAGGAATTAGAAATGGATGATTATTTCTGAAAATGTTCCTGATACATATGTTTTATCAGAAGAATAGTCCTATTACAGCAAGAAGGCTTTTTTGCAATGACTGTTTCCTAGCAAAAATTAGTTTTGGTTGCTTGCTGCTCCCTGGTTACTTATTTTTCATTTTTTGCCAAAATAGTTGCTTTTCAGGGGCTAGTTCAATAGGCTTGCTTATTTAACATGTAAAATAACTGTCTTAATTGAAGAACACATTATTGATGGTTGATTATTCTGAAGTAAGCCTTACTGTTCTTGTTTCATGTCATGGTGCCTTGATTTATATATATTTTCAGTCTTTTGTGTAGCCAGGTTTCGAAATGGCAAGGGCCCACAGAATGTTCATTTTGGACAAGTGTCTAGGTTAATGCCCCAGTATTAAGGAAGAACACCAGAGCTGACAACCAGTTTCCTCTTTAAATATCCCAGGAGGTGAATTAACAGGATTGAAGAGTTAAAGGTTCTGCTGTAGCTTGTGTTAACTTTGTTTTAAAGTAGATGATTCATACCTTATCACTCTTTTGTACCTTTTGTTTAAAATATTGTGAGATTGAGGGTTTAAGATATAGAAAAATGGCCATGTCTACTCTGTTAAACTGGGCAAGCACACACAACTCTGCTCACACTCATTTAGACAGAGCTGTAGTAAGAAGACTTAGTTTTCTGTCCATGGGGCTTTCATTGCCAGCCTGGAGTTCATGGAGGGACAAAGAGAAAGAAGATTAAAAATGTTAGTTAGCAGATAAAACCAGGGATGAGTGACTCAGTAGACTACATTCATGTAACTGCCTGTCCCCCAGTCCTCCTTTCTGGAAAGAAGAGCTTTTTAAATGTCTTTATTTTCTCCATAGTCATTTGTCAGTTCATGACAGTTTATTGGTTCTTTGGAGATTGTTGTGATGGAAACCAAGAGCACAGATTTTACATCAGGTAGTTTCAATTTAGAATTAATGTGAATTCTAGAGGCAAAGAACATAGCAAGCAAGAATGCATGCCCTGGAGTTTGATAGATGTAGCTCAGAGTTAACAGCTGTATGACTTCTAGGTTGGTAATCTTGACCAAGTTACTTGACCTTTCTCAGCCTCAGTTACCTTATCTGTGAAATGGAAATAACAGTAATCACCTTTCAGTGCCCATGGTTGCACTAGCTTATCCAGAAACAAAGAATTGGTCTTTGAAGTGTCATGTGAGTTCTGTAGAAACAGAGCTTTGCTGTACTTTCTGCCTTTGTCGGAGCCTCAAGCCCTGATGTCTGTGATTGCATGTCAGAGTTTAAACAGCACTGCTCTGCAGCTGGGCAGGTGGCCCTTTTCAATGTTGAACACCTGCAGCCTGGTGACCCCTGCAAGGCTTTCAGTAGTTCCTCTTTCAGAACCATTAAACATTCTTTGATACCCAATTAAGGCATTACAACAGGGGAAAGCATTTACTCAGGGTTGTAGTAAGTTTTTATTTTTTAACCAACTCAGATAATACAACTTGGTGTGATAGTTGACGATTATTTTTGTCCTCCCAACAGAAGGCCTTTGAAAACAAATGATTACTTTTTATTCCTTGCATAAAAGGTTATTTTCAGCTCTTGAAGCCAGTTAAAAGAATCAAAGATAAAGAAAATGTCAATTGCAGAAACCCGTCGTAAGGCTCTCACAAGGGTTTTATACGAAGGAGTTTGCTAAAAATTAAAACAAGGCCTCTTCACCAGCAGATCTTACACTGCTGGGAGGCCAGTGACACTGTATCACATGGAGTGGTGCAGTGTTAGGTTTTCCTAACATCCATGTTGTTGACACTAGACTGTCGGGTATGCTCATGTATTTTGGTTGATTGCTGGTGAAAGAGCACCTGGGTGTGGGGGGTGGGTGCCTTCAGCTGCCAGAGGCCATTCTTTCCACCTTTAGTTTGATGTCTGATGCCATGGAACACTCTTACATTTAACAGAAAAGAAACCAGAGCAAATATATCTGTATTTGCTTGACTGATTGAAATTAGTTTAGCTGGTACCATATTTCTCATCAGATGTCTGTGCATGCAGCGAACACCATGTTTCTCCTGTTGACCTTTCTCAGTCACCGGTGTTTTTGTGCAAAAAGCTGCCAGAAGGGGGTCCACAGTGTGCAGAGTGACTTGGTAAAAAGTTGATTTTCAAAGCTTTATTTGAAGTTTTATAAATGCTGATCATGCTCTTGGGACTTTGTTTTTCAGAGTCAGGGTGAGCGTCTTCTCTCTAGAGAGGCACCCGAGGAGCTGAAGCAGCAGCCTCTGGCCCTTGGGTATTTTGTATCAACTGCCAAAGCAGAGAATCTCCCACAGTGGTTTTGGTCGTCGTGTCCCCAGGCTCAGAACCAGTGCCCCCTCTTCCTAAAGGTTGGTTTGGTGTCATATTTGAAGTTTGGGGGAGGAGTAACTTAGACTTAAATTGGGGTTTGGTTAGAAACTTGTGTCTCAGTCCCCACAATCATACTGTGGTCCCTTTTTCTTTCACATCTGCTTCTACTCTGAGGGTATTTTAATTACAGTTGTGGTTGTGGGGTGGGGGTGGGCAGTGGTTAGAACTCAGGAGAGGAACCCAAAGCCGTGGCACAAAGGAAGCAATCACATTAACCTAAGATGGAGACTTTGTGGGACCCACAGGGCATGCTGCCTTGCCACCCGTGAAGGTAAGCTTAGGTGGAGGTGATCTGGATTGGCTGATCTCTTCCTCCCTTGCCACAGGCTTCATCTTTCTTCATTAGAGTAGGGCAAGAGGCAGCTAAATTTACGTTTACACATGCTCCTTCCTGTATCAGTCTTGGAACCCTTTAATACAAATTAAGGGTTAAAACAAAAGATTTCCTACTTCCAGTTTGCTTGAAAGAGGCTGGAATGAAATCCACGTTTCACCCACAGATTGGCAAGAAACCAGAAGTTTGACAACATGCTCTTTTGGCAGGGCTGTTGAGAGATGGCCCTGGTGCCAGTAGGAAAGCCAAGTGACACAACCCCCCTCGCTTCCCTTTTGATGCTGCAGTTCCACCTCTGGAAATCTATTCAGAAGAAACAGGCAAAATCAAAAAAATGATAAATGTAAAAGATGGGAAACACTTGAACTGTCCATCAGTAAGGAACTGGTTGAATAAACCAGTACATCTGTTCAGTGGAGTGTTAGTTATCCACAACAAAGTGAGGATTATTGTTATATAATCATTCTGTGGAGTGTAGATTACCTTGTAGTGATTGTGATAAGATGGGCACACGCGCGCCTGCTATGTTTTCAAAAAGAAACAGTGGAGGGGTTGGACCAGAAACAGTTGAAGCAGTTTTCTTTAACTAATGGCTATGACATATTGTGAAATCAAGGAAGTTATATAAAATCCACATCATCTTTATTTCAAATTAGACTTGTCAGGATGAACCTAGATTTATTTTTCCCTCTTAAGAAAGGTGTACACTTTTTTTTTTTTTAGCTTGATCTACTGCAAAACTTAAGAGCAGTGACAGCATAGTATCCATAAACAACTCTCTTGTTACAGTTCTGGTTCTGAAATACCATTTATCATTTAAAAGAACCAGAGTCCCTTGGAAGAAATGACTGATTATAGGTCTGAAGTAAGAAATATTCAGGATGAACCTTTGATATGTTGTCCCACTGAAAAGCAAGGAAATTACTTAAGATAATTAGAGTTACTTCAAAGGACCCAGGAGCCAGCTGGAGGGTTCTCATTGCCCAAGGATGGGACAGTTTGAACATAAAGAACAGTGGTAGCAGGAGAATGAAACAAATACATGGGTCATAATTGTGCTGAAAACCAGAACATTTTCTCATTCACCTTTTGAAACTACTAGAACAGCAGCTTACTAATTTGAAAACTAAAAAATAAAGAAGCATTTATATTAACTCTCACATACTATATTTCTCAGTTATTTAACAAAGTAAAATATGCTAAAACCATTAGGTGAAAAAGTGATGGGGAACTTAATAAATGGAGCATGCTGGTAACCTGCTGAACACGGTGATCAATCCTACTTCAAGTGGGACAATAGACATTAGTTGCCTTTTGATGTGATGCAATAAGAAGGACATAGCACCAGTTAAGCAGTATTCTTGCACGCTTATCCCCTCCCTCTAGAAAGAATCTGAACCAGTTAGAGCCTCTAAATCTATGGATTTATAGGAGAAGTCAGGAGAGAATGTATTAACCCCACCACAAGGGGACAGTTAGCCATATACAGACCCTGAGGCCTTCTAGAGATTAGGACTTCAAGAGGCAGGTCTTTGAATCATTTGAAATGCATTTATATTTGCAAAGCTAGCTTTTTTTCCAACTCTAAGATATGGAGTTATTTGGGATCACATTGGAGTTACTGAGAGCCTAAAATTAAGGCTTCTGGAGGCTGTGGCTTCTAAAGACTCCAGAGGGCGTCTGCAACTAGCATACATTGGTCTTCCTTTTTTCTGCCCCGTGGTTGAGGATGTCAGAAAGGTAACTGTCTCTGTTCTTTTACCAGGCTTCACTGCATCACCACATTTCTGTAGCACAGACGGATGAACTTCTCCCTGCCAGGAATTCTCAGCGGGTTCCACATCCTCTTGACTCCAAAACCACATCTGATGTTTTAAGGTAGATACAGACATAGGCAACATAGCAGTACAGTGTGAAATAACCCTCCTTCACTTTTGTTTTTCCAAGGTGTATTTAATTAAAATGCAGAAAAGGTGCTACCTTTTGTGCTGTGGAGCACTGTCTGATTAGCCGCTGAGAGTTGCAGTCCCCCCATATGAGCACTGGACAGAGAGTATAGTATACTTTGTTAAATGGGATAGGTATGTTCAAGTACAATTGCCCTTGCTTCCTATTTAAAGGAGGCATTTTATGGTGATGAAAATAGATCAGAATTAGGAGGTGGATGGTTAGAAGACAGAGCCTGAAAGTTCAAGCGCTTGGTTTTGAAAGCATCTTTTTTACTTCTTCTGACATAAGTTATATAAATAAAATTAACTAGACCATAAATTCCATAGTTGGGAAGTATCTTCCAGAAGGATGCAGTAATTCTCTTGCACTGTAGCAGGCCACAAACATTCTTCAGGTACCTTGAGGAAATATGCCAGCTTTTTCTAGTGTTTGCTAACTCTAAAATGATTTGGAAATTATAGTTAAGCAAGAACCTGATCAACATGATTTTGGCTTTCAGGGTCTCTAGTGCAGCACCATTCAAGAGAAATACAATGTAAGCTACATTTCTAATGAAAATTTTTTTAGTAGCAACGTTAAAATAGTAAAATAAATTGGTGAAGTTAAAATGTATCAATTATACCAAAAGTATATCAGAATAATATCAAGTATATGAAAAACAGTATCATTTCAGTAGTTAACATAAAAATATTCATGAACTATTTCACATGTTTTGTTTTTTAATATGAATTCCTTGAAATCCAGTGCCTGTTTTTATATGATAGCATATGTGATTCCGTTTGTGGCCAGTAATGCAGGGCTAGGCAAAGCGGATGTGTGAGAAAAGTGCCACAGGGAAACCTGAGACGAGTGAAAGAATGACACAGGCCCTCTCTGCCAACGCCTGGAATGTTGACGTATAGAACGAGCCTTGCCTCTGCTGTGCTTCGTGCCCCTGACCTGTCTCTTCTCTCCGGCAGGTTTGTTTTGGAGCAGTACAACGCTCTATCCTGGCTCACGTGCAATCCGGCTACCCAGGACCGTACCTCCTGCCTTCCCGTCCACTTTGTGGTGCTCACTCAGTTGTACAATGCCATCATGAATATACTTTAATTGGAAAAGCACTTGTTCTCTCTGGCTCGGTTCCTCCTCCCTGCAGCCTCAGCCCAAGGAGCCTGCTACACTCTGCAAATGCCCCACATCCTCTTCTTGAGACCACTCTCCACAGTCCTGCACTGTGATTACTCCTCAGCAGGCACAGGTCATTTCTGCAGTGTTCATTCCCAGAGGGATTCATTGATACTTCTCTCATGGACCTGGAAACTTCCATAAGCAGTGACTTTTAGCCAGTGTTATGGTGTGTGCAGCCCCAAACCACTGGTCCGCAGGAAGTTTGGTGGTGGTGGTGGTGGTGGTGGTGGTGGTGGTGGTGGTGGTGGTGGTTTTTAAGAGGGAAACAGAAGAGACAGTATCCTTTTGCACAAGAGTCTGTGTTTCCAGTCTCTGTTTAAAAACAAGGGCAGTTTAGCCCTTTTGGATATAATCCTCTAGTTATTGGTGTATGGCCTGTGGGTTACCCGAACTCCATAATCTGGGACTTCTTAAAAATAAGAACCAGCTCAAGTATATGATCTCATAATGGGGTTTCTGTCTCCCTAGTGCCCCCATCTAGATTGGCATGGATGCTTTGGTTGACTTCATACCTGTGTGTAGATACAAAAGGTCTGGAGACATCTTCATTTTGTTTATTTATTTTAAGTTGTTTTGTCATGTTTTTTTGTGACTTTCTTTTGATTTTTTTTTTTAATTCATGAGGACCAGGTACAGTAGCTGAAACCCAACTCAGATCCACCGTAGGATTCTTTGACTACATACCTCTGTCCTAGAAGCCGGAAAAGGAGTGAAAACAGATTGGGGAGATAAGCCTAAAAAGTAATATATTCAAAACCACCCAGCAGTAGGCTTTATTAAGAACAAACTGGGTAAACATTCTGCCATGTTTCTTATTAAAAGTGGCCAGCGTTTCATGAAGGATAACATTTTTATACAGAAGGCAGTCAAGCTCAACCCAGAGCCATGGAGGCAAGTACCTTCATTAGTTTTATATAGTCACAACGGAAATATATTTTCTAGTGAATTCTTATTGAAAGCCAGGTCTCTCCTCTCATTAGATCAAAAGGGACTCATGTACATATCATAATTGAAAGTGTTTGCTCATAAAATCAGTTATAAATATGGTGACTTTTTTCTGGACCATAGGAATATTATTTCAAAGAAATATTACAACTTAACCATTAAATTAGTACTTGAAGTTGAGCCTTTGTGGTGGGACTTTTTTAAAAAAATATAATGCCTTTTTAAAGCATTAATGGCTAATTGAAGTATTTTATGACTCCTCATTCCAGGCCCCAGAGGGTTGTCTTTAAGACCCCGTTTCTGACCTTGACGTCGCAGCGCGTTTCTGTCTGAGGGCAGTGGGCATGGGCTTGCCTCCCGCAAGCAGCTCTGGTCAGGCTGTTGAGCTCTAGTCATCTGTGGAGAGAATCATGCAAATTTTAAAGTTCTTCCAAGAGACTTCCATATCCTGATTATTAACAAAAACAAAAAACAAAAAAAAAAAAAACAAAAAAAAACAAAAACAAAAAAAGAAAAAAATGTAATAACTGATATGATTTTGTAAAAGTATTTTTCTTGAAATAATCTAACGTTTAAAACATTATATTAAAAAAAGTTGTGTGGTGGGAATATGTAAGCAGAGAAATAACTTGTAAATGGATAATTTTATTCTCTGTACCACCAATTGGGGGGGGGTGACTTTCACAATGTATAGGTTAAAAAAAATCTGATATATCAAACCATTTGTATCTAATGTGTACAGTGTAAAATTGACTTTAAAAATATTGCAGTGCTATTTTTTCTTAATCAGAAAGGAAAAATTCTCAAGGCCTTTTGAAGAGCATAAGATGATGAAGATTGTAAACTTGTATAAAATTATCTTGGTGAGAAGACAAATTGTAAAGTAGATATTTGTAATCTTTTACCACTTTGGGGTTGCTTTTTTTCCCAGAATTCATCAGAACTTTGAATTTTTTTTTAATATGGGCTGTTTTTAATGCAGGGGCTTTTCTTCCCTAGAAACCCAATTCTAAGCAAAAAAAAAAAAAGAAAAAACCCACAAAAAACAAAAAACCCCTACAAAAATTAAAAAAAAAAAAAAAAAGGCAGCAAAGGGTAGTTTTCATCTGGTGTCTTTTATTTAAGTTTTTTAAGTTAAGAAAAGCTGGTGACATATTTATACGTTTTTGTGCAAAAATAAATGAATGGCAATAGATTTTAAAAAATCTTATTATGTACTTCTGTGTGAAAAAGTCTGTATAATATTTCCCTTAAATATGCATTATTTTACTTGTGAGTTTTTTACTGAATTAATCTGAAATGTACAAGCCCTGGATTTGCTACAGAGTGAGAAGTTATTTTATTTTTTTTTTTTATTTTTAATTTTGGAAATCCTGCAGAAATCAGAACTCTTACCATGGTTTGAACTAAAAAGGGGAAATGGGGAGGGGAGAGGGGTGGGATTGTCCAGCATGCTTGTATGTATATTTCAGAACCTTTTTTAAATGTAAAAGCTGTACATTTCTGGGAAGTTCTGAATTTCTTTTGTTTCCTTTTTTCCTTCGAGCATTTTGCAGTGAGCTTCTTTTATATATAGCAAACAATTTGAAAGAATACAAAAATATGTGAAGTTCATTTAAAACTACAGTATAGCGCTGGTACAGTACACTAAAGACTTTGATAAAAAGAAACAATACTAAAAGGCCTCCATTTTAAATGTCATTCATATATACCTTGTGAATGAGAGCTATATACTTTTACACACTTTTTTAGAGGAATAAATTATTGAATTACTGAAACTTTGAGTGGCTTTTTTCCCTCCCATCCTGCTTTATAACAAAATTATTTACACCTATTCAAAAGGTGTTTGTGTAATGGATTGAACATTCCTTGACTAGGAGTCAGGCTCTACCTTCCAGAGCAACACAGACATAGGATTTTATTGCCGTGACCACTAACCAACAGTTGTTCTCAGATGGTGTCCTCATGCTCCAGGGCACTAGTGCATTCCTAGATTAGTGTGTAGAGTCTGTGCGGGCACGCACGCGCACACACACACCCCATTGGATTAGGACTCCTGGTGTCCAGTTCTTTAACTGTCCTGAGTAGATCAGATCTGTGTTTCCCACAGATTGTGGTCAGTCTTAAAACAAATTATGAGTCTGTTTTCTACTTCCTTTCTCTTCACGGTCTGGGCCAGTTTCTTTTTGATGTTCCTTAGAAATAACAGAGCCCTCTTTGCTCTCTGCCCTATTCACAGGCTGTGATAATAGAATGCCACCTAAGACCTGTATGAGCAGGGTGCTGGTTGACTGCACGGCAGCCACTATGCTGTTCCCCTTGGGTCCATCCAGTAGGAAAAACCACCTGCCCCTTAGGGGTAGAATCTCTTCCAAAAAATGGTAAAAACCTCAGGACTTGGCAGAGCTTACAGTAAAAGTTTGACTAAATCTCGAAAGACTTTGCTCTTAACCTTCCTCCATCTATTTAGAAATACACATTGTTCTGAATTTAACATGGTCTGAACCTAGAGGTAAAGCTGTTGAGACTGCTCAGCCTTGGTTATTGTATCTGCAAATGAGGGAGGAGCAGGAGTCTATGAGAAATGCTCTGCAAATAGCCACGCTGTGACCATGTTATCATAGTTGTACCATTGAAGAAGGCAAACAGGCCACATTGGGGTTAGAAGACCCTTCAGGTCTCTGCCTCATCCATCACCATGGCCCTGTTTGTAATGCTGCTGGATGAAGGCAATATTAAAGAATCCCACATTCCCTGGTTCCATTGTAATCAGTCCTATGTCCCCTCAATCATCAGAATTAGATGGTGTTTTTACAAGTGTTCATTAGCTTAGATACTTGACTCCTACATTGGGTGGGACTTGATCCAACAGTTTGTGAACATTGTTTTCATAACCACTGGCTGCACCAACCTGGTGACCATAGCTAAATCTGTTCAAGGCAGGAAAAGTTATTTTTGCAAATCGGGTGGAGATAAGTCTGACCAGGCCTTCAGGAGCCATCAGCCTCTAGCCATTCACTTTGCTCCAATTCCCAGTAACACCGGTTAACCCCCCACCCCCCCCAATGATGCCATAGCACCGTTTCATGTTCCTGCTATTCAGGAAGTTGGGGAGCAAGGAAATTTGTTCCAACAGTTATCAAAGAGTCAACATATCTTTGGGTAAAAAGAAGTGCAGTTTGTCAATAGAAAGTTTTAAAAGCAGACTCCTCATAAGACTTAATGCTGAAGCCGGAGCCACATACTGGAAATTGCCTTTGCTGCTTGTTGTTTACACAAGCCATTATGTAAAGAACATTTGTTTTTTCGCTTTTGAATCTGCCACATGCTAAAATCTTATCAAAATTGCAATTTTAGTGTATCACTATGTTATCTTGGTGTTGCATGATTTGCTTGTTTACATCCCCTTGACAAAAAAGGTCACTTAGTAATTATTTCATGCCATTAATACCAAATGAGATGCCATTAATTCCTAATGAGATGCCATTAGGAAATTTTGTTGTGCCAGGTAATTGTGTGGTTGTAACAATTGCCCTGGGCATCTTACCCCACGGGGAACCAGATTTACCCATCTTCTGCTACTTCCCTTGAAAATTTCAGGTCAAGTTTAAAAGATTTTTTTGACGCTTCCTGCTTCTGGCTAGATCTCCAAAGTAATGAAGCAGGTAAGAAATAGAAGTTGATGAGGAAGAAAGTTTAATCTCCAGGACAGAGCATTGGTAAGACTGAAGTATTTTTTTTTTTTCCTCTGTAAAAGGTTATTTCCTCAATAAGCATTAGTTACCAGGTGATAGGAAGGCACAGAAAACACAGGGGTCAGTCTCTCTCTCTCTCTTTTTTTTTTTTAACAAGCAGGGAAGTGAGAAAAGCACGTTTTGTTTCAATAATCTGCTAAAAATTGCATCTGTCTGGGCTGTTACTCCGTGCTGTTCATTTGTAGGTGTCAAAGCAAGTCTGTCTGAAGAGTGCTTAACGTCATCCCGCTACTCCCAAACAGGCAAACGTACAAATGCGCAGCACTTCTCATTGTGTCCTGGCTGTTGCTGCCTATTTTATGGCTTCATTGTCTTGTTAGCAGATTAGGCATGTTGCAGTCTACCTGTTTAAGAAAGCCAGACAATATTCAGGAAAATCACCCATGCCAGAGCTAAGAGGAGAAGGCTAACACAAGGAAAAATGTGTGCTCTGGGGGAAAATCCATTTAATTAAACATGTAAGATAGTACTTGTCTTACTTAATTTGAGCTTAAACATCTTTCAAGAAACATTTCATAAGTTAGCTTCTCTTATTTAAATCTTTGTTCACTTAGAGGTCTTGATGTTCTTACTAATTTACATGCATTGTTTACATAAGTAACTTCCTGTCTGCTTTCACAAGCCTGTGAGTTCTCATTCCAGAAGAGAGAATGTTCCGATAGTCATATATACACACATAGACCAGTTTTTGTTCCTATTGATAGATCTCTTCACAAAGCTTATGGAGGTTATCTCCCTTGTCAGGTCTAGGGAGGTCAAGTCTGCCTCACAGGATGAATTGATGACACCCCTCCCCCCCCCAGTCATTTTTTGTGACACAGGAGCATTGACCTTACATGACAACTCTGTTTGGCTGAGAGTAGGGAAATGTTAGCTGAACGTTGATTGTTGAAAGAGTGGAATCCACCTCAAAAATTGAAAATAATTTACAAGCTAATTGATCATATGTCGATGCCTTTGGGAAAGCAGAAAATATATATTAGAAAATACAGGAACTTTTTTTGTGGTTGATTTAGGTTTCCTATTTCATCTGAAAATTTTGGTAATTTGGAATTTTATAGGGGAAAAAAAGAGTTTTCCCAATGCATTAGTATGCAACTGTGCAGAGCACTCCCTTAATTCTGAATGCATTGTTTTTGGTAACATACGCTCCTTCTCATTTCTAACAATATTGATGCAGGGGTTTTTTTCCTTGATTTATTTTCCAGCAGTTTGCTGTTTTCTTAGTTTCGTTTGATTTTTTTCCAAAGAAACAGCTCATGCATTTAACAATTCTGTTTTTATCCTGGCTTTTATCTTGCTGTTCCTTCTCCCAGTATCCTTGAGAGTTTGTTTCATTTTCCTTGAATCTTAATTGCCTGCTTAGTTAATTTATTTTCACTTTTGATGACACAGGCATTGATAGCCTGGGGGCTTCTGGATGCATGTGGCCCTCCTCAGATGATACGCAGAAGTCTTCACACGTGTGCATTTTTCTGGGGAAAGGGTCTGTTGCATCCCATGTCTGACCCTGAAAGGGTCTGTTGCATCCCATGTCTGACCCAGTAAGATGACTGATCTGGGACTGTGTTAGAGTTGATTGCATCCTGCGGGTTTTGATGTTTAATGTTTTCAATTTTATTTTTAGAATTTAATTCTTCGTTTCCCATTTTTTTTAATAAAGGAAAATTCTCTTTGGACTTCAAGTCTCTTGGACTCTAATTTTCTCTTACTACAATGTAATCTAGTAATGATTAGTCCTTGCAAACATTCTCTGGAACCTTCAAAACAAAGTGTGCCCTATTAAGCAGTGCTGTCTCATAAAAATACAGTGTGAGTCATAAATGTAATTTTATATTTTAGTAGCCACATAAAAAAGTAAAAAGGTGGAATTAATTTTAATAATATATCTTCTTTAACCTAATATATCCAAATTCTTATCTTTCAACATGAAATAATATAAACATTGCCAATGAGATATTTAGCATTTTAATTTTTGCACCGAGTCTCCAAGATCCAGTAATCATTGTACATTTACCACACATTTAAATCTGGAAGCTAAATTTCTATGGTTAGAGTAAAAGGCGGTTCTATCAAATAACGTTGCATTTAACAGAAAAAAAAAATTACACTGCGTCCCTTTGTTGTAAATTTTAATTGAATTTACAAATTAGTTTACAATTTACAAATTAGTTCCTCAGCTCTGCTCACTGCATCTCTGAGTGTTAGACACACGGGCATCTATTGGAAGTGGTGGCGCTAGGCATAAAGATTGGAAACCAATTCTATAGAGTGTATTGTTTCTTCTGTGCCCCTGTCAAGACCTCAGACTGTCCTAGGCAGGTAGCAGGAATTAAAATTTCCCACTGCAATTTTGGGCTGTCCTTTTTTCTTTTGTACTACATTACTGGTGCATAAAGGTTTATGATGTATTTTGTTATGTAATTTATCTCTGTATCATGACCCTTCGTAATACTTTTGCTTTAACTTCTCTTTTGATATTAATATTGCCACTCCTGTTTTCCTTTTATTAGAATCCTGGTGTTAATATCTTTGACCAACCATTTATTTTGAACCTTTATCGTTTTGTGTTAGGTGTTCTTCATACACATTGTTGCATTTTATTTCTTAACAGAATAATAATTTCATTTCAGTAGGGTGATTTTTTTTTACCATTTGCATTTCCTGTTCTATGTTTTGACTTGTCAGCCAATTCTTTTATGAAAATACACATATATATTTATTTGCTTTTACTTTTTTAGTTTTGCCTTTTTGTGTATGGACTCTGCCATTTACTTTTATCTCTTAAAACATTTTGGAAAGAAACCTTTGTTTTGAATTCTATTAGTGATTACTGCAGAACAGTCCACAAATATTCACGATGCTCTTACTACATACATCCCCATTAAAAAAAAATCCCCTCTTACCCACCATCCCACCTCCCGTCTCCCCCTCTCATGGGCGTGGAGCCGCGTGCAGCCAGCAAGCCCGCTCCTTTCTTCAGCCGGGCGGGGAAGGGGTGGTCTCCTGGTTCCGCTGCCAGC